TGCCCACGTGGAGGGGTTCACCTCCGTAAGAACTAAGAACGCAGGCAGTGCATCTATGGTAACAGGAGGGAGGGCAGAGTATATGGAAACAGCTGCATGTAGGCGATAGAAGCATGTGGAAATTCTCTTTCAGACAGCTTCTATTTTCTCCATGAAGTTGGAAGCAAGACCACCAGCAGAGTGAGGAGAAAGAAGGAGTGGTTGGAGGAAGGAGAGATGAGAAGGTAAAAACAGCTTTCAGTGAGGGTCAGAGAGTGCACAGAACAGAGGAAATGCAGGAGGACCTTTGAGGGGTGTGAATTTAAGTAAGACCAATTAGCCTGGAAACACGTTTTTTTCCAGCCACATTCAGCTGCTTGGGTGCAGGCTGAGAAGTCACAGGGACGGGGTTTTGCTAGATGAATATGATGGGAGAGAAAGACCAAGAAGTTTGTGTTGTGCAAGGGACAGATTATAGTAATAAATCATGGAATCATACCCAGAGCTGGGTAAGGAGGGAAGCCTGGGTGTGATGGGGATAGGGGACAACCAAAAGGAGGTAGTATCAATGGAGAAGAGACAAGGCCAATTTATCCACAGGAGGCATCGAAACTTAGGCTCACGATATTTTTAGGGGCCCACAAGATTTAGTTTATTTTAAAATCAGAAAAAAAAGTGAATATAATAAAAATGAGTACATAGTCACAAATTCAGCCTGGATTGTATTCATCTTTATACCAATGCAATTGTAAAATATACCTTTTTAAATAACTGATTTATTTTTATTTTTTCTTTTTTAAGTAGGCTCCATGCCCAACGTGGGGCTTGAACTTATGACCCTGAGAGCAAAAGTCACATGCTCTACCAATTGAGCCAGTCAGGGATCCCATAAAATATAATTTTTAATATCCTTTTGCAGAGGGGCAAATGAAGATGAAGTGCCTTAGAGCCCACAAAAATTGTAATGTGACCCCTATGAGTGATGAGTGATCCCAGTGGATCCAATTCAATATTTGTCAAATGTATTTATAATGGGCAAAAAATTAAACACAATCTAAATATCTAGAATTGTTTGAGTCCAGGCACTAAAGGGCATGGTCTGAAAACATAAGAGCTGGTAATAAGAAAGTATAACACTTAAAATTGAAATTATGGGATGCCGGTGTGGCTCAGTGGTTTGGCGCCTGCCTTGGGCTCAGGGCATGATCCTGGAGTACTGGGATTGAGTCCCATGTCAGGTTCCCTGAGGTGAGCCTACTTCTCCCTCTGCCTGTGTCTCTGCCTCTCTCTTTCTCTATGTCTCTCATGAATAAATAAATAAAATCTTTTTAAAAAATTGAAATTATGAAGGGTGTGAAGCTACTGATATTCACAAGGTTTTGGTGACCATCATTCCCATTGGTAGAAGAGAAGAAATCAAGAAAATGGGAAGCTAGTTTTATCAGTTATCTATTGCCATATTAACAACTACTCCTAAATTTAGTGGCTTAAAACAACTACCATTCATCTGCTCTTGATTTGGTAATATGGGCAAGTCTCTGCTCAGCAGTTCTTTTGCTGGTCTTGCCTAGGCTCATTTATGTGGCCACGGTCATCTGGAAGCTTGACTGGGACTGGGTAATATGACTCACATGTCTCATGGTTGTTGGCCAGGGCACCTCAGCTCTCCTCCATGGGGCTTCTCATCTTAAAGTAGGCCAGAAAAGACTTCTTTACATCATGAGTTTTCTGATAGGCAAAGAGGCAAGCTGCAAAGGTCTCTTGTGGTCCAGACTCTGGGGACACACGCAACATCATTTCTGCCACATTCTGTTAGTCAAAGTAAGTCATAAGGCCAGCCCAGATTCAAGGGGTTAAAGAAACAGACTCCACTTCCTGCTAGGAAGAGCAGCAAAATCACTGCAAAGGGTCACGTGGGCTAGGAGCTGGTGTAGCAGCCATCTTTGAGTCTGCCTTCCTGGGGATCCCTGGGTGGCGCAGCGGTTTGGCGCCTGCCTTTGTCCCAGGGCACGATCCTGGAGACCCGGGATCGAATCCCACGTCGGGCTCCCGGTGCATGGAGCCTGCTTCTCCCTCTGCCTGTGTCTCTGCCTCTCTCTGTCTCTCTGTGACTATCGTAAATAAATAAAAAAATTTAAAAAAAAAAAAAAAAGAGTCTGCCTTCCACTCAGATGGTCCAGAGTCCTGAAATCCAGCCCGGTATCAGTTCCCTGCTCAGCGAGAAATCTGCTTCTCCCCCCCTCTGTACCATCACTCATGCTTTCTCTCTCTCTCAAATTTATTTATTTTTTAAAAAGATTATTTATTTATTTATTTATTTATTTATTTATTTATTTATTTATTTATTCATAGAGACAGAGAGAGAGAGAGGCAGAGACACAGGCAGAGGGAGAAGCAGGCTCCATGCAGGGAGCCGGACGTGGTACTTGATCCAGGGCCTCCAGGATCACGCCCTAGGCTGCAGGCGGCGCTAAACCGCTGCGCCACCGGGGCTGCCCTATCTCAAATTAAAAAAAAAAAAAATCTTAAAAATAATAAAAGAAATTCAATAATATTAAAAAATTTTTGGCTCAGCGGTTTAGCGCCCCCTTCGGCCCAGGGTATGATCTTGGAGACCAGAATCGAGACCCACATTGGGCTCCCTGCATGGAGCTTGCTTCTCCCTCTGCCTGTGTCTCTGCCTCTATCTCTCTCTGTGTGTGTCTTATGAATAAATAATTAAAATCTTTAAAAAATAAAAATAAATAAATAACTTTTAAAAAATAAAAAAAATTTTTAGGATAAAGTAAAAAGAAAAAAAAATCACTCATGTGCCTCCTGGTATGATAAAATCACTATTGTTGTTTTGAACTCTTTTTCTGTCCAAGTGTTTTTACACAGTATCTATAGTGTTGTAAGCTGTCTTTTTTTCCTTTTTTTAAGTAGGCACTGTGCTCAGCATGGAGCCCAATGCAGGGCTTGAACTCACACTCTGAGATCAAGACCTGAGCTGAGATCAAGAGTCAGATGCTTAACTACCTGAGCCACCCAGGTGCTGCATCCTGTGCTTTTTTTTTTTTTTAACTCTATGTCCTTTATTTGATGGTCCTCAAAAGCAGTTTTTTATGGCTACATAACATTCCGTTGAATAGATATACCATCATTTTTATTTAAGCTAGCCTTCATCACTGGATATTCAGGTTGTTTATGTTTTATGCCATTATAGATTCATTGAACAAGTATTTACTAAGCACACCTGTGCTAGTACTATGTGCCAGACATCATCGTAGGCACTGAGGATATGGCCCCCAGATAAATAGTAGTGCCATAGATTTTCATGCATATAGTTTTTTCCATGGTTTAGATTCTTTTTTTTTTTAAGATTTTATTTATTTATTCATGGCACAGAGAGAGAGAGAGAGGCAGAAACACAGGCAGAGGGAGAAGCAGGCTCCATGCACCGGGAGCCCGACGTGGGATTCGATCCCGGGTCTCCAGGATCGCGCCCTGGGACAAAGGCAGGCGCCAAACTGCTGCGCCACCCAGGGATCCCCAGGAAGGCAGACTCTTAACACCCAGGCACCCCTAAATTTCTTTTACAGAAATAAAAAAAGTTGTACACATTCATTGTGGAAAAGGGGGAAATGGTGAAAATCATCAGTAAGAAAAAAATAGAAGCTCAGTTGGTTTGGCATCAGATTCTCCTTTCCACTCAGATCATGATCTCAGGGAACCCGTCCCCTACAGCTTCCACTTTGCACTCTGAGGATTCTCTCCATCTCTGTCTGCCCCTCCCCCCATTCCCATTCTCTCTCTCAAATAAATAAATAAATAAATAAATCTTTAAAAAAAAACAATAAAATGGGCCCCTGGGTGACTCAGTCAATTAAGCATCTACCTTCTGCTCAGGTCATGATCCCAGAGTCCTGGGATTTAGTTTCAAGAGGTGGGACTCCCTTGCCCCTCCCTCTCCCTCTGCCCCTCCCCCCTTCATGCTCTCCTCTCTCTTCCTCAAATAAATATTTAAAAAAATAAAAAAATAACCTAGAACCCCATCATTCAGAAAAAAAAAATCACTGCCAACATTGAGATGGGTTTTACTTTGTTCTTGCTCCCTTCCACACACTTAACATATATTCTTAGCTCATTGGCCATCTTCAGACTTCAAAAGGTGATTTTTAGTCAAATAGTGTTTACATACCATAATCTATTTGGCCTATTTGGACAGTATAGGCCGTTTGCAATTTTTCACACACACAAAAAAATCCTTAAATTCAGAAAGTTTTTCAGAAAATAGGTGATTAGAGTTTTGGGGAAGTTGGCTAGAGAGATGGGGTGGGTGTGGCTGTTATGTTCAATGGAGGCTACAAGAAAAATTAGTCCAGGGGCTCCTCCTTTATGTGTGTTGGAGGTGTCTGTAGGCAGCTGCTCTGCATGGGCTAGGGACCCATCCTATCCAATGTATTGAAATTAAAGATGGTGAAATCTTCATCTGAAGGACTAGAAGATGGGCAGTGGGGTTCCTGCCCTCTGCCCTCTTGCCCTGTGAGAACAATAAATAGTTTGCTGTCCTTGCCTTGCACAGGTGTCTCTGAGCCATTAGCCTGGAGGAGTAGTCCTCCCCCACCCCCCACCCCCCAACTCTATATGTCTGAGCTCTGGGTTTGGGCAGTTGACAATTAGCCTGAGATGAAGAACGGTTGCGATCGGAGTACAGAAGTGGGAAACTGGGAGGCACATCTACAGAGTCAGGGGCGTTCCCAGCCCAGGGAGGCTTCCCAGTAGTGGTCGCAGAAAGGAATGGAGTGGAGAAATATACAGTCTTGACGGAGCGGGGGGGGGGGGGGGGGGGGGGGGGGGGGGGGGGGGCGGGGGACGGGGGCGGTGCGAGAGGCTGATCCTTAGATAGGCATGGGTCGATCCTGGAAGGCTGGGAATGGCAACGAAGAAAGAAGGGGAGGGCGTGGAGGAGGAGGAGAGCACACAGACGAAAGCAGGTGATGTAGGATTTACAAACGGAGGAGGCGTGGGCTGGTGACAGGAGGAGGGCCTGGAGCCGCAAGGGTGCCCGGAGCGTGCACGGGATTTAAAAGAGAAGCGTGATGGGAAGCTGACCCGCGAGAGCAGAGGTGGGGCACAGGCTGAGGGGCGCGGGTCAGGACGGCAACGGATGCAAGATGGGAGAATAGCGGCTGTGCACATTTGGCTGGCACTTGGCAGTCTTCTTCCTTTTTGATTCCCCTAATTTCCTCTTTTCGCTGAAGAAAGCGAGGTTCGGAAGGGCTAGGTGGCAGCGAAGGCGGGGGCCCCGGGGGCCGCGGGGCGAGGTGTGAGCCCTGCGTCGCGGGGGGTGGGCGCCGGACGCCCGCGGGTGGGGGGCGGGAGCTCCGGGAGGGGGGGCGGGCTCCGCCGGCACACGCCGCCCCTGGCAGGCCGCCTGAGCGCGCGCGAGGAGCCGCCGCCGCCGCTCGGGGTCGCCTTGAGCCCCAGATTTGCGAGCGCTCGGCCCGCATGGCAGCCGCCTCGGCGCCGGTCCCCGCGGCCGGCTAGGGGTGGCCCCGCGCCCCGGCCCCTTGGCGGAGCCCGTCGGATCCCGCCCGGCTCTGCGTCCCGGGGCGCGCTGCCTCCCAGCCCGAGGTGAGGACCGCGAGGGCAGGGGCGCACGGAGCTAGGGGCGTTCTGGGGACCCCAGGCCCGCGCCGCGGCCGAGCCGAGGCGACGGAGATGGGAAGGGGACGTGGAGAGCAGGTCCGGGGGGGGGGGGCGGGGGGAGTCGAGGTGGGAGGCGGAGACTGCCCGCTGCCGGGAACCGGCCCCCGCGTCCCCTCCGCGCCCAAGGCCGCCTCCCGGCGCTGTCCCCATCCCCGCGGAGTCCGCCGTGCGGACTGCGTGCCCAGCCCGGGCCCCTCCGGCGCCTGGACCTCGTTCCGCGCTGTCCACCCTTCGCCTCCTTCCCACAGAGCCCGCTCCGGGGCTCCTGTCTCCAGTCCCCTCGCCTGCCCAGCCTTCCCCGCCTCCGCCCTCCCGCCCCCACCTCCTTCTGTCCCGACGCCCCTCTTCCCTCGAACCGGAATCCGTGCCACCGTCTCCGGGTCCCGCCGCCTCCCAGCCCGTGCCGTCCCACAGGTGTCCGCACGTCCGGCCGTCCATCCGTCCTTCCCTCCTGAGGCCGGCGCTGACCATGCCCAGCGGCTGCCGCTGTCTACATCTCGTGTGCCTGTTGTGCATCCTGGGGGCACCGGTTCAGCCTGCGGGAGGTGAGCGCGCCCCCGGGCTCGGGTCGCGGCCCTGCCCCGCCATCCCTCGCTTGCGCGTTGACCTCTGCCGGCCAGAGACGGCACTGCAGCCTCCCGACCCGCGGGCTTGACCACACCGAGAGAGCCCCTTGCGAGGCGAGGACTCTGTTCTGCCCCAGCCTGGAGCAGAGCCCAGCCAATTAGGGAGACCCCGCTCCTCCGAGCCCCGCGTCTCAGGGAGCGGAACCCTGACTCGGTCTCACCCTTCCCACCTCAATCTCTTGCAGCCGATGACTGCAGCTCCCACTGTGACCTGGCCCACGGCTGCTGTGCGCCCGACGGCTCCTGCAGGTACCTCTGTCCAACACGTGCTACCGAAAACCCTTTGCTCACCATTTCCCAGCAGGTCCACACCCACATCCAGGTCAAGCCCCAGGGCAGAGTGTCCAAGGGCTTAAAACCCTACTGTTCACTCCTCAGCCCCTCATGGCCACAGGGCAGACTGGCTAGCCTCTCCCGGCCCCATTTCCCCTCTGCTTTGCCTCTCTTTTCTTCTTCTGGCTTATGCCTCTCCACTCCCTACTCCTGTACTCTCCCAAAGCTGATCCAGGAATTCTGAAACGTTCCTCCTCAAGATACCAGTAGAAAGACCTGAAGCTTGAGAGTTTGGAGATTGGGGGCCATGAGGAAAGGGGGAGATAAAAATATAAAGAGAATGGGTTTAGCCTGGGAAAGAAAGGCTACAGGAGGACAGGAGGGTTGCTGGGGAGATGCACTTAGAAAGAGTATCTTTCTTGATGAATTTGAGTTAATTGACTCACTGGGGTGGGGGTTGGGCCAATTCTGCAGCACGAGAAAAAGTGTGTCTGAACATAAGGAAATGAGCTGACAAGGCAAGGTATTGGAGGAGGTGGCTGTGTTTGAGACACCCTGAAATACTTCAGGTCTTTGTCCTCCTGGAATGAGGATGGGAAGAGAGTCCTTATGACCTTTCAAGGTCACTCTTTTTAAACTGCTTCTGAGCACCTCAGACATGCCAGGAATGGTACTGGGGTTATTTACAAATGTCATCTTAATTTCTTCCTCAACCCAACCTAACCCAACCTATTTCAGATGAGAACACTGAAGCCCAGAGAGGTTAGACAAAGCACAAACCCAGGACTTGAACGCTGGTGTCTCATGGTCTGACTCCATATATGTCCTATGACCCCGTACAGCCCTATACCTACCTGGGGCAGGCCTGGTCTCTCTTAGAGGTTCTCATATGTCCTTGTGTTTTCTAGAAGCTCTGGTCTTGCCTCTCCCATCTCCTCAGATCCCCCCAACCAGAGCCCTGCCCCTGTGCTTCTCCCCACCAGGTGTGACCCAGGCTGGGAAGGGCTGCACTGTGAGCGCTGCGTGAGAATGCCTGGCTGCCAGCATGGGACCTGCCACCAGCCCTGGCAGTGCATCTGTCATAGTGGCTGGGCAGGCAAGTTCTGTGACAAAGGTAGGGGAGCAGTGAGGGTAGCTTTTGGACTGGGGACCCTGTGTGTCTTGGGAGAACATCCATTGATAACATATTTATCGAGCACCTATATCTAATATTAAGCACATATTTAAGAGCACTGTCTGGCTTAAACCCTCTGGCTTAAACCCTCAAATACATGGTATTTTATCATTTTAGACTTTATACCAGTTGCCTAATTCAGTCAACATAATCCTATGAGGTGGGCAAGGCAGCTGCTAAAATGTACTGATTTTACTGATGAGGAAACTGAGACCCACAGATGAGATACAACTTGCCCAATAGCTTTGAGACAGACAGATGATGCTGGGGCTAGGAGCCTCCTGACACCAATGCAGTGTTGTTTTCCCACACTACACCACAGAAGCTCTGGGTGGGTTTGTAGTACAAGTCATGCCCACAGAGCTTCAGGTGGGGCCGGGGCAGGTCTGGGCACCCAGACCTCAGGCACCCAGAGCCTTCCCGGTCTCCTTTCCAGATGAGCACATCTGTACCACGCAGAACCCCTGTCGGAATGGTGGCCAGTGTGTCTATGATGGGGGTGGCGAGTACCACTGTGTGTGTCCACCAAGTTTCCATGGACATGACTGCGAGCGCAAGTCTGGACCCTGTGAACAGGCAGGGTGAGTACTGGCCTGTGGGTGAGTGGGAGGTTAGGGGAGAAGTTGGTGATGGGAAAGGAAGCAGGACTATAGAGAGGGTGGTGGCGAAGTATTAGGTCCGAGGGTCCAGGGAGCCAAAGTGTCCCTCGTCCAGGGTTTCTCAACTTTTTTGGTACCATTTGAACCGTTTCTCCAAAACCAAACTTGGAGTTGCTGAAGGTGTACCACATTAACACGTGACTGCTCTGGTTGAGAAGGTGGGTGTAGAGAGGTTAAGGACCTAGGACTCCCCTTGGCCCCTCGGAAAAGCTGGCACACAGCTCCCAGAGACGTTCCGCTCAGCAACTCTTGCCTTGTTGTAAGTGAGCAAATGGGCTGCAGGGCTGGACTTGTCCTCATTTCTGCTGCAGGTCCAAGTGTCTCTGAGGATAATAATAGCACGCCTGCGTTGAGCCTTGCCTTGGGGCCAGGTCCTGTGCTAACCGCTTGACATTGAATTAGCTCATTTAACCCTCACAATTTGGGGGACTAGGGGACTAGTCTTATTCCCATTTTTAAAATGGAGGCATTGGAGGCTCAGAGAGAGGGACTCAAGGTGACTTAGCCAGAAAGGGGGTTGAAGGGTGGCGGCGGTCAGGATGCTGACCTGGGCTACCCTAACAGTGTGAGTTGGCCTTACTGACCTCTTTCCCTCCCACTGCAGCTCCCCATGCCGGAATGGTGGGCAATGCCAGGATGACCAGGGCTTTGCTCTCAACTTCACCTGCCGCTGCCTGGTAGGCTTTGTGGGTTCTCGCTGTGAGGTCAATGTAGACGACTGTCTGATGCGACCTTGTGCCAATGGCGCCACCTGCCTGGATGGCATAAACCGCTTCTCCTGCCTCTGCCCTGAGGGCTTTGCTGGTCGCTTCTGCACAGTCAACCTGGATGACTGTGCCAGCCGTCCGTGCCAGAGAGGGGCCCGCTGTCGGGACCGCGTCCATGACTTTGACTGTCTCTGCCCCAGCGGCTATGGCGGCAAGACCTGCGAGCTCATCTTACCTGTCTCAGAACCCGCCACCATAGTGGACATCCCCTTGGGGACCACCTCGGCTCTGGCAGTACCTGCCACAGGGCCTGTCCCCCACAGCGTGGGGGCGGGTCTGCTGCGCATCTCAGTGAAAGAGGTGGTGCGGAGGCAAGAGGCTGGGCTAGGTGTATCTAGCCTGGTGGCTGTGGTGGTCTTTGGGGCCCTCACCGCTGCCCTGGTCCTCTCCACAATGTTGCTGACCCTGAGGGCCTGGCGCCGGGGTGTATGCCCCCCTGGACCCTGTTGCTACCCTGCCCCACACTATGCCCCGGCATGCCAGGACCAGGAGTGTCAGGTTAGCATGCTGCCGGCAGGGCTCCCCCTGTCACCTGACCTGCCCCCTGAGCCTGGAAAGACCACAGCACTGTGATGGAGGTGGGGGCTCCCCAGCCCCCACCTTCACCTCCTCAGCTTCTCAGACTGGAATAGGCCTTCATCACCACCCCTCTCCTGGGGCACACACACTGAAGGACCTTAGCCACACACCAGAAATATTATTTTTTTAATACATAGACTGTAAGATGGAAATTTTATCAAATAAAACTATGAAAAGTGCACATGGGCTCCTTTGCCAGAAAATCTGCCTGAAGTCCCAGCTGTAAGAGGACCAGAGCAGAGGCCTGGTTCTGGAGCCTCAGGACTCTGCCCCGCAAGAGAACAGGGTCCCCTTTTCCCCTCTGGGAAGTGAGGGAGAGGTAGAGCCACAAAGGAGAATGTAAACAAGCAGCCAGCACCCCTGCAGCTGCTCAGGACTAGGTAAGACCAAGGGGAGACCCTGTAGGACAGTGGGAGGGCAGGCTCAGGACCCTCAGCGAGAGGACTGGGATCCCTGCTGGCTGCTCTGCAGCAGCTGCTGGAATAGCGAGTGGGGCTGGCTGCGCAGGGCAGCGGGGGAGTCCAGCTCCACGACCCTCCCTGCTTGTAGCACCAGTACACGGTCAGAGTTCAGGATCGTGTTGAGCCTGTGTGAGAGAAGGTGGTCAGTGGGGGGACAGCGGACAAGGCCCTAAAGAAGAGAGCTGACTTCCTCTTCCCTCTTTTCCCCTGGACAGCACAGGTATGCCCCACAGGCTTTAGTGTCTGGCTCTGTGCTGGGGAAGACCGCAGATACCCTTGGACAGTGTGCTGTAAAGAGCCTGGAGAACAAGGAGCTGAGATTCATGGGGGGTTAGAATCTCTAGAGCCCTGACCCCTGGGGTCCCTGAAAGGAAGGGAGGCTCTGGGTTCATGTCACCATAGGCCTTGATTCAATTCTCACTCCAGACACTGGCACACCTGTGTGCAATGGTCAGCACTGTCTTGTTGGCAAAGCGTTTGCAAATGGTCTGCTGGAGCAGTTGGTCTGTCTTCTGGTCCACACTCGCCGTGGCCTCATCGATACACAAGATCTGGAACATGCGCAGAGGGTGGCGGGGGGGGGGGAGCGGGTTAGCCTTGGCTCCCCCCCAAGTACCAGCCCCCACCTCCGGGCCCAGACCAGCCAACCTACAGCTCCCCACCTCCAGCTCTAAAAGGAAAACTTAGTCCCCCAAAACCTCTCCCCAACCCACTCCTTCACCCTGACTGCCCCCTGCCTTCTTCCTGGCCCTCTTTAATGTCCCTTCCTGTTGCCTCACCTTGGCATCCGTGAGGAGAGCCCTGGCCAGACACAGCAGCTGCCTCTGCCCCAGGGATAAGCTCCGGCCCCCCTCACCCAGCTCACCATCCAGGCCACCTGCAAGGCACAGCATCCTCAGCCCCAGGTCTCAGGCCTCTCCCTGCTCCCTCTGACTACCCTGCAGGGTAGGGCCTAGTACTTACCCAAGGACACGATCACCTTGCTCAGGTGGCACTGCTCCAGGGCCTGCCACAGGGCCCTGTCCTCATGCAGGCCCTGGGGATCCAGGTTTTCCCGAACAGTCCCACTAAACAGAAAGGGTTCCTGGGGGATGATAGCCAGCTGGGATCTGGGGGGGTAAGAAGGCGACAGGACATGGGATCTAGACTGGAGATGTGGCCACTTCTGTTCCTAGCACAGTTTTTTAGTGGGCACTTCCAGGAAAGCTTTGGGGGAGGGGTAAGAGCTGAACAAAATCCCCACTCTGCTCCCCAGCTGATCAGTCGTGTACCTACTGTGCCAGTGCTACAGGGAGCATCAAAGATACCAAAGGTCTTCACCCTATCCTTAAGGAGCTTACATCTCACTAAGGCACAAAATATGGAGAAACACTGAGAACAGGAGTGGGCTAAGCTGTGTGGGCCCAACTCTAGCAGCCACTGGGCAGCAGTGGCAAGGAATGACCAGAACATGAATGGGGAGGGGACACTTCAAGGTCAGAAATGAGCCTGTAATCAAGTCCTGAGGAGCTATATGTTTGAGCCATAAGGTAAGGCTGCCACAGGTGAGAAGAGAAGGCAGGAAGACCAGGGCCAGGGCTTGGGATCAGTCATGGGCTTTAGGACAGAGCTGCCCTACCTCGTGCATGGCACAGAACTCAGCAAAAATGATACTAGATCACTTTTGGAAAAAAAAAAAAAACCCAGATGTGGGGATGGGGAGATGATTAGCTCCAGAAAAGTCCACTTGTGGCTGGGAGCAACCGACCCAGGTCTTGAGCTGTCCCAAGCACTGCCTGCCGAGCCTCAGGGCTGAGGACATCAGTATGGGGCACTGCCCCTGGAAGACTCTGGTTCAGGAGGCAGTGACTGGTGGTCTCGAATGGAGGCTATGTGCCAGAAAGTATAAGGCAAAGCTGGAAAGGTGGGCCTGGGTCAGACTGCAGACCTTGAGACCACAGCTATGAGTTTGAACCTCGGTACTAGGATCTCGCTGTCCTCACCTGCTTGTCCTGTCCTCTATCCTGCCCCTGACTGGCCCTGGCTTCCCCGGGTTGATATAAAGCCTTCCTAGCTGGACATTCCCCCATGTCCCAGTAGCCTGGTGTCCCTCTTCTTCCTCCCCCAGACCTGAGTTCAGCCAGCTCCAGCTGGCTGGTGTCCACACCGTCCAGCAGCACTCTCCCCGAACTAGGTTCCAGCAGCCGGAAGAGCACCAACAACAGGGAAGACTTGCCAGAGCCTGTGCGGCCCACGATGCCCAACTTCTCTCCAGGCTGCACACGGAAAGTCACTCCATCCAGGGCATTTGGCAGCCCCGGCCGGTATACCAGCACCACATCCTGGAACTCCACACTCCCCTGGGTCAGCCAGCCAACGCCCAGCTGGTGGGGTCCATGGGTGGGAGAGAGACAGAGATGGGTAAGGTGGAGGAAATGAGGAGGAGATGCAATGGGGAGTGGGAAGAGGGGAAAATAAGGAGAAAGGGTTGGCACAAGAGGAAAAGGCATGGGCAGCAGAGGTGAGGCCCTCTGGATGGACACAAGGATGAGAGACACACCGTGAAGAATGTGACATCACACAGTGACATGAGAGGGGCTGAGAAAAACAGTGAGGACCAAAAGGAAAGGAATGAGGGGAGGCGGGACTGTCAGGAGGGTCCCCCAGGGTTCCAGTGCCCAGGCCCAGGGCAGGGATTGCAGGCCTACCCTTGGCAGCTGGCCCTGGGGCTCTTGGGGCAGGTCACAGGAGTACTCCTCGAGGCGCTCAACGCTTACCAGCATGGTTTCTGTCTGCGTGAAGCTGCTCACCAGGCCAGAGAGCAGGCCCGTCAGGGACAGAGCGTAAGACAGTGACAGGCCCACCAGTCCTGGAGGGGAAGAGCACAAGCCGCTAGTGGATGGACAGTAGGATACATGTGGGAGCAGAGCTGGGGCAGGAGGGAGAATTCAAAGCTATGGACTGTGGCAAATAAAAGAAGCCTGCAGAAGGCAGCCTGAGTGGCTCAGCGGTTTAGCGCCTGCCTTCGGCCCAGGGTGTGATCCTGGAGACCTGGGATCGAGTCCCACATCAGGCTCTCTGCGTGGAGCCTGCTTCTCCCTCTGGCTGAGTCTCTGCCTCTCTGTCTCTCTGTTTCTGATGAATAAGTAAATAAAATCTTAAAAAAAAAAAAGCCTGTAGAGAAGCAGGAAGATGCTGGGACCCAGATGGGGTCCACAGGAGGTGAGCCACAAGGGAGTGAGGTGGGCCTGGATAGGCTTCGAGGGAAGACAATGGAAGATGGGCCTGGCAGTGTTAGTAATGGGGCAGAGGAGGGAAGGGGTGAAGGTCAGAATGATTGTTTTAGTCCCAGACCCACCACCACCTGGGCAAGTCTCTCCCTGGGACTCAGTTTCCTCAACTCTAAAATGGGAGTGATGACAATGACAACACATCCTCACAGGACCCCAGGGTGGGAGATGAAATGCTGGGGGGACAGTGCAGGGAGGGAGGTCTGGGATGCTTCTGAGTTGAGAGTGAGGCTCCCGGGGTGGCACCTGGGTTGGTGAGGCCCTGCTGGTGCTGCACCAGGGCGATGCCCGCGATGGCACTGACCACTGTGGCTCCCATGAGCTGCAGCCGAATGTCTAGCCACTGTATCGTGGCACTGGCGGCAAATTGGCACCTCTGGTTTAGCTCCAGGAGTCTCTGATTCTCCTCCTCAAACCTGGGGGAGGCCAGGAGGGATGAGAGGACACTCCCTTGTTACAGTGACCCCACCAGACTCCTTCCCTGCAGAACACAGCAACTTTTTCAGGGCTGACCTACACACACACAGGCCTCTCCTTGGGGGTACAGAGGGACCATTGTTCTGTCTCCTATCCCCCATCCCTTTTTCTGCACTCACCCACCCTTCCTTTCTCAGGAGACCTGGGGCCTGCTCCCATGTGCCCTTCTTTTCAGGAGTCCTTCTTCTCACCTCCCTCAGCTTCTCCTCCCCACTGGCTGTGGCCAGAGGCAGATTCCACGCACCTGGAGGTGGCCCCTGCGGCCCGGAGCACAGGGAGGCCAGCCAAGGTGTCAGCCAGGTGGGTGTAGAGAGGTGACAGAGTGAGGCTGCTCAGGCGCCGCAGCTCCCGGGAGGAGGCCCTGTAGTGGCGCTGCACGCGGTAGTAGAGGACGCTCAGAGCGGGCAGCAGCAGTAGCAGCCAGGGCAGGCCCGAGCCCAGCACTGCCAAGAGGCCCAGCAGGCCTGCTGCATTGGCCAGCAGGATGTTGAGGGTGAAGGGCAGGCTGTCATCTGCACAGGCCACGTCGGAGGAGAAGCGGTTTAGAACCCGGCCGGCAGGTGTGGAGTCGAAGAAAGTCACTGGTGCCTGGGAGAGGGGTTGTGGTTGGGCGAGGGCAGGGCCTGGCAGCAGAGGGGCTGGGGACAGCCCTGGGGGGGAGGTTGGGTGGGGAGAAAGGCCCAAAGTAGAAAAGAGGGCAGGAGGAAAGTGTCCCCAGAGTTTGGGGGCAGAGAGGAAGGGGCTGGTGGAGCTTGGAGGGAGACCCTCTCAGGGTGGGAAAAGTAGAGACTCTCCCGTCTCTCCGGCCAGTGGTGACCCTGAGAGGCCATGCTGGCCATTCCTCTACCTCTGTGCTAGACATGCCAACTTCCCTTTGCAGGGCAGGAGCCAGTCTCTTTCCAGAAGAAGAGGACTTTAGGCTTGTGAGTAAGATTTAGTTAGAGGTCAAGAGGAACATCCTGATCGCCCGTGGCTGGACAGCAGTCTAAGTCAGTATGAGCTCATAGCTCAGCACTCAGGCTCTGGAATCAGACTGCCGCTGGGATTCTGGCCCTGCCATTTGCTGGATAGGAGGCCCCGGGCAAAAGCTTAATCTCTCTCTTTCTCTCTTTTAAAGGTTTTATTTATTTATTTATTCATGAGAGACACACAGAGAGAGGCAGAGACACAGGCAGAGGGAGAAGCAGGCTCCCTGCAGGGGGCCTGATATGGGACTTGATCCTGGGACCCCGGGATCACGAACTGAGCCAGAGGCAGACCTGAGCCAGAGGCAGACGTTCAACCACTGAGCCACCCAGGCGTCCCAAGGAGCTTAATCTCTTAAAGGCCCCTGTTCCTCATCTCAAAAGCAGGGATAATAACAGAACTGCAGCTCTCAGGGCTGCTGGTAGGATCGAAAGCACATGTACAGCAGTCAGATGCTGAGCACAGTCTGCCTGGCAGAGAGTGAGTGCTCAGCAGTCTCTAGCTGTTTATTTTTTATTTTATTTTATTTTTAAAGATTTATTTATTTATTTATTCAGAGAGAGAGAGAGAGAGAGAGAGAGGCAGAGACACAGGCAGAGGGAGAAGCAGGCTCCATGCAGGGAGCCCAACGTGGGACTCGATCCCGGGTCTCTAGGATCACACCCCGGGCTGCAGGTGGTGCCAAACCGCTGTGCCACAGGGGCTGCCCAGTCTCTAGCTGTTTAGATGGCTACTGGGTGGGCCATCTCAGAGACAGCCTGTCCCTTTCTTCACCTTCTCCATCCCCCAGCTCTCTGCCTTTACTTAAGGAATAATCCTCTTAGGGCAGGGGACTAGGGCAAAGGACTTCTGGAAGCACCTCCTAATGCCAATTTATAAGAAACGAATTCCTGGGATCCCTGGGTGGCGCAGCGGTTTGGCGTCTGCCTTTGGCCCAGGGCGCGATCCTGGAGACCCGGGATCGAATCCCACGTCAGGCTCCCGGTGCATGGAGCCTGCTTCTCCCTCTGCCTGTGTCTCTGCCTCTCTCTCTCTCTCTGTCTATCATAAATAAATAAAAATAAAAAAAAAAAAAAAAAAAAAAAAAAAAAGAAACGAATTCCTTCACAGCCCAAAGAGGCCGTGGTCCTGGAGGAGAGGCAGAACCGTGGGTGGCTACTCCCTGACAGGCAACAGGAATACCTATATAGGACTGGGTTCCCAGCCCAACTCTCCACAGAACTAGCCTTACCCAGGTCACTTACGCTCTCATTGCCTCAGGTTCCTTATCTGTAAAATGGGGATAACAGAGTGGGGGGGGGGGAGTAAAAAAAAGAAAATAAAAAAAATGGGGATAACAGTACCTACCTCATAGGGTTATTACAAGACCTTGATAAGGTAACGGTCAAGAGGGTGCCTGGCTGGCTCAGTTGGTGAGGCACAATCAAGGCTCTTGATCTTAGGGTTGTGAGTTCAAGCCCCATACACACTGTAAAGATTACTTTAAAAAATTTTTTTAAAGGATAACAGACAAGGGCAGCCCCGGTGGCGCAGCGGTTTAGCACTGCCTGCAGCCCAGGGGGTGATCCTGGAGACCTGGGATCGAGTCCCACATCAGGCTCTCTGTGTGGAGCCTGCTTCTCCCTCTGCCTGTGTCTCTGCCTCTCTCTCTCTCTGTGTCTCTCTCATGAATAAATAAATAAAATCTTAAAAAAAAAAAAGGATAACAGACAAGAAAAGGGCTTTATAAGAACAACAACAAGGGGCGTCCTGGGTAGCTCAGCGGTTTAGCGCTGCCTTCAGCCCAGGGCCTGATCCTGGAGACCCAGGATCGAGTCCCATGTCAGGCTCCCTGCATGGAGGTGCTTCTCCCTCTGCCTGTGTCTCTGCCTCTCTCTGTGTGTCTCTCATGAATAAATAAAATCTTAAAAAAAAAAAAATAACAACAACATGACTGATAATTGCTGATTGAGTATTTAGTATGTTCCAGGCACTATCCTAAGCACTCTCCATGTACTAATTAATTTAATCCTCATAATAAGCCTATAGGATCAGCAACAGACTAAATATGTACACGACAACAGGGATGGATCTTAAAAACAGCCCTAAATAAAAATTGTAAGAAATAGAATGCCAGGGGTGCCTGGGTGGTTCAGTTGTTTAAGCGTCTGCCTTTGGCTTGGGCTCTGATTTCAGAGTCCTGAGATGATACCTACTAAGAATGGTTGCTTTATCAAGGAAAGAAGGGGAAACAAAATAGGGTACATAGATAAAAGGGAATGGGTAAATAAGTAAAATAAAAAAGGGAACTTATGATCTAAGAGGTGTCCCATGCCCCACAAATAAGAGGTGACTAATTCAGGCCTCTGCACTTGAAGTCCAAAACAGGAGTGACTCAGGAAGATTCTCTTCTCCCAATTTTACAAGTCAGAAAGCTACCGGCTTAAGTAACTGGGTTTGAACTCAGAGAGCTGCTCTGCTCTCAGCCTCTCCAGGTCTCAAGCTGCCAAGTGCTGCACACACCTGTGAGGGCTGTCTTCTCCTGAGGACTAGGAGGTAGGATGGGGCGCCTGATGGAGCCCAAGTACTGAGAGGGCTCCCCCATGCCACCCCACCCTCCTATCCCCTCACCATAAGGACTCGACACAGCAGGCGGCGATGTAGGGTGGCGGCCGCTTGGAGGGTGCCCGCTGCAAAGAGCACTGCCCGGAGAAAGGTGCAGAGGGAGTTGACACCAGCAATGGTTGCGTATACGGTGAGGTAGAAACGGATGTCTGAGGAGCCATTGGAGGCAGTTTTTGGCAGTGGGAACACTGAGGTGCTGGGTGGTGAGGAGGGGGCTGTGGGTAACCAAAAGAAGGGCCCCTCGGGGGTCCCTTCCCCTCCCCCAAGCCAGCTCTCCCCACCAGAAGACACACCTGGAACATCAGCCCCCACCCCCACCCCCACCCCCGCAACCCCTCTGGGAGCCCCAAGCCTGCTCTAGCTCCAGCCACTCACTAGAGGTTTCCGGAGGAGAAGAGGAGCAGCTGGGCAGAGAGGAGCCCTGTGGATCCCGGGTTGGTGGGGGCTGGCACCTCCTGGGAGTTATTCTTGTTTGCCTTCAGCTGGGATATCCAGTGGGAGAGCCACCAGTCAGCAGCATTCCTTGTGCCTGGGTGGGGAAAGGGAGGGAAAAGCTGTGATTCATCCCTTTTTTCCATTCAAACACCCCCTTAACCTTCTGCCCTTAACCCCCATCCCTGGCCCTCCCCACCTTCCTACTATCCCACGTCCTCCCCAGTGTGCACTCCTTCCCTGGGCCCATCACCCATCAGCTCTGAGGAGCGCATGATCTGGAATTTGCAGAGGGGAAGCAAGCTGTGGGAGCAGACCAGAAGATGGCTATGGTGTGCACCCCTCTGGTCCCTGGGACTCTCAGAACTGGGGGGTGTGTATCTTGTCCCAGCTGCTGTCCATGCCTGGGGAGGCTCAGGGCTTTGTAATGATCAGTTGGAGGTGATGGCTGTGATGGGGACCTAGGACTGGGGCAGGATGAGGGGCTCTGGGGTTCACTCCCACCTTGCATGAGGAGCAAGGAGAGGAGGATGGCTAGGGCCAGGCCCAGGCCCACGGCCCTCAAGTATGCTCGGTACACGTGCAAGGCCACGGCACCCTCCTTCTTGCTTTCTTCCTGCAGCAGATGGCCACATGTTTTCTCCTCCACTTCCAGCCTCTCCTTTGTTTTCTCCAGGTTCCCGACTGACTGCACTGCAGCTGTGAGGATGGGAAAGGAGGCCAGGGTGTGGATTAAGTTTGCAGGAAGACAGTTAAACTTCAGTGTTTCAGATGGGCAGGGTTGCTTTGAGGAAAACGTATCTCTATAGTGAAGTGGTGGAGGGCAAGCCTTTTCCTCAGCCCTGAGCCATACCTGAGTCAGCCTCTTGTCCCTCCTCAGCCCAGGCTTTGGGGACAGCTTGTACCAACGGCAGGATCTCAGAGGGAGGCCCTGGAAGGTAGCAAGGAAATCATCAGGGGGCTCCTGCATATATACTATATACTCTGCCTTCCTCAGTGAGTCTGCCGATCCACCTCCTATTCTTTGTGGACCCCTTCCCTGACTCTCACTAGCAGGGCCCTGCCCTGGACCCCTAGACTCTGAAGAGGACTCTCAAGTCCATCCCTCTGTGCCTGTAGTCCAGCCAGCTCAGACACATGTTCACTCTAGGAAAGTCATAGCCATCCATGAGCACTCTGTCCAGAGTCACCTCTTGTTACTGCAGAGCTTTCTCCTCAGGCTTCACAAAATTTCTAACAGTCTGGTGGAGCCTGATTTCCTCCTGTTTCTCTCCCAGTGAACTTCCCTGGTCATGTCCCTCTGGATAATAATCCATCAGAGGTGGGGTTTTGTTAATATTTGTTTGTATTTTTAATAAAAAGATTGTTCTAAACCTGACTGTTGTCTCTTCTCTAAGGACGTCAGTGTTCCTGGAGATCTTGATCCTCTGTGTTCCCAAAGTACCCAGTCACACAGCCCAAGTTCCAAATCCACTGGCTCCCACCCTGGCGGCCCATATTACCAGCCCGGAGAAGGCGCCCGGCCTCCATCAGCAGCACCAAATCTGCCTTCTCCAGGTACTCGGTGCGGTGGGTACAGAGTAGCCTTGTAGTGTGGCTCAGCACCCCCAGGATGCACCTATGCAGAAGGTGGCTGGCCACGTCTGCATCCACAGCAGCCAGAGGGTCATCGAGGAGATAGAGCTCCTTTTCCTAAAAGAGGTGGGGACATCATGGGTACCAAGTCCTGGGTCCTTTGGTCAGAACCCAGACCTCTCCTAGGACACGATCTTGAGGCCGTCAGAGAAGACAGTTGAGAAGAACTCTGGGGGCTGCCCCGAGAGCAGTGGCAAAGCAGGTGAGACTTGAGGGTAAACTTCCCTCCAGTCAAGCAAGGCCAGTGCTTAGCGCTTCAAGTCACATAATTTTTTTTAAAGGATCTTTAATTCTGCCTTGAATCTGCAAAAGGGGCATGGGGTGGCAAAGGGATAAACATCTCAAGAACATGAAGGGAGAGAGAAAAAGAAACTAGATGCTGATGAAAATATCCCCGTTCCCCACTCCCTCCAAGGACCTCCTCATCTTTAATTCACCTGGTAGATAGCACGAGCAAGGGCAATCCGGGCCCGCTGTCCCCCGCTGAGGGTCACACCCTTCTCCCCCACCTCTGTCTGGTCTCCAGCAGGCAAAATCTGGTAGGAAAGGCCTCCTAGCATTGGTCAATGGGCTCCCCAATACCTTCTACTCCATCCCTTTGCAGGGAAGAGGTAGAGGGCGTCAAGAGAGCCAGGGAGCTTAGGGAGAGTAGACTTGAATTTGGGGTGATCAACAGGGGATAATCCGTAATTCTGACAATCCAATCCCTATGACAACCTTATGAAGTTGGTATTATTTCTCTTTCACAGAGGAAACCAAAGTTCAGAGTAACTACCTTGCCCTCAGGTGGTTCTACAGCTAGGAAGCAGCAGGACATGAATGTAGATTCTTAGCCACCCTGTCACACTCACTACCCTGCCTTTTTATTTTTTATTTTTTTTAAGATTTTATTTATTTATTCATGAGAGACACACAGAAAGAGAAGCAGAGACATAGGCAGAGGGAGAAGCAAGCTCCACACAGGGAGCCTGACGAGGGGCTCGATCCCAGATCCTAAGATCACGCCCTGAGCCAAAGGCAGATGCTCAACCGCTGAGCCACCCAGGCATCCCTACCCTGCCTTTTTAAGAGCAAGGATGACGATGGGCAAATTCAATGTGGAAGCTTTCATAGATTTTTACACAAGGAATGTACCCCAAGCCTTCATGGGGCCTCAGGAGTGGTCTCCTTAGCTAAGGGGGGCCCATTACAGTGGAAGCACCTGTGGTCTATCAGACAGTGAGTCCCCCTGAGGGAAAAGCTTTATAATTCACCACTTAGTGCCTAGAACCGTTCCCAGTACCCGACAGGCATTTGAGAAATGTCTGATGTAGAAAAAAATGATTCATGGGCATGGGATACCCCATAGCCAAAGTAAAGGTCCTCTTTTCCAGGGAAGTTCCACATTTACCTGGACAGAGTAGTAGTGATGACAATCCTGCTGGGGACATGGGGATTGAGTGGGGAAGTCATGGGTGAGATCTGGAATCTCATCCTCCTAAATTCAGTACTCTGGATTGTAGGGGATCTATTGGACTTGCCTCTAGTAACCCTAAATCTCTTAAGCCTTCCCAGGGGAAGGTGTAGGAGAAGCTCTTTTTTTTTTTTAAGATTTTATTTATTTATTCATAAGGGACACAGAGAGAGAGAGAGAGAGTGAGAGAGGGAGAAACATAGGCAGAAGGAGAAGCATGCCGGGAGCCGGATGTGGGACTCAATCCCAGGACTCCAGGATTATGCCCTGAGCTGAAGTCAGGCGCTAAACTGCTGAGCCACCCAGGCATCCCAAGCCTCTTGAACCAGAACCACCAGCCGAACCTACATAGAGCTAAAGCCTCAGAGGGAACCCTAGCCTAGAGGCTGCTATGTGGAACCCCACCACCACTACTGTCCCTTTGGGTCCTACTTGGAAGGGGGAACCACACACTGGATGCTCTAGGAGGACCAAACCTGACAGCCAGTCTCAGGTTAATGGTGCCTGAGCAGAAGCAACTTCTTCCCAGAGAAGCAAATCTCTGACTTGAGGTGTCAGGGACATGGGGAAGAAGGCAGTCAGGGGGTTTTAGGGTTTGGGCACTCACATGGAGGTCATCAGTAAGGGCGCAGGCCTCGATCACTTCTTTGTACAGTTGGGCATCAAATGTTTTCCCAAAGAGAATGTTGTCTCGGATGGTGGCAAACTGGATCCAGGGTTCCTGGGTGGCCAGGCCAAAGCCTTTGGACAGTCCCCACACAGCCACCTGCCCATGCAGCCTGCAGAGAGCCAAGCCAGCAGCATGAGGGTGCCAGTCCCCAACTAGGTCCCTCCATAACCAGCCCCCTGCCTCCCAGAAGCCTCTCCAGACTGCTGTCTTCTACATTGGGTCCCTCTTCATGTCACATGGGTCTCTGGATTGGTAGCCACTGGGGTCGAGGGGACTTAACGAGGCTGGAGGCTCAATCTGGATTGGGAAGGGAAGCGATTGCTCTTTGGCTATAGCCAAGTGGTTGTCAGATCTGGATGTGCTCAGAGAAGAGGATGGCCACCACCCTGCTCCCACTCATTCTCACTGTAAAATAAGAAGGCCCTCCTTTATCCCTCTGCTCCTCTCTAGATCCCTCCCTGAGTAACCACATTTTCTGAAAGATGAACTGAAGCAGGATGTTTCCATTTATTTCTTTACTCACTATTATAGCACTGATAATACTCTGGTATGAAGCTTATGATAACTCACTTTGACTGCCTTCCCCTTTCTAGACTAAAACTCTCCCAAGAAAGGGACAAGGTCTTGTTCGTCTCTGACTCTCAGTATCCTGGGACCCTATAAAGGCATCCACCACAGGGCAGGGGCTAGGCAAGTTTTTGCTGCAAGTCAAAGCTGAGGACAGGGGACACTAGAGGTTACTCACCTGTGGAGCTCCCCAGCAACGGCGGCCAGCAGCGAGCTCTTTCCACAGCCCACCTTCCCCACGATGCCCACCAAGACACCCTGCAAGGAAGCCAGACAGTAAGCATCAGGTCTTCCTCCTGAGGCCCTGGGCTGCCAATCATTCCACGGAGGCTTCTGTTTAGGCCCGTTTGTCTGTGAAGAAAGAATTCTCCAGCCCATAGGATGAGCTGTGCCTCACCGAGTAGGAGGTTCCTATATAGTTCATTTAGGAACTATAGAAGTACAGTGCTTACTTTCCACTTAGAGGAGTGATCAGTTTCACTGATCTGCATGAAGGGCCCCTGGAGAGGCACCAGAGAGAATGGAGGAAACTGCCTAGAATTTCCAAAGAAAGGTCAAAGCAGGGAGCCTGGAAAGAGAAGGGAGGGAGGGACTCCAGGCTTTGGGGCCTGGATGCTGGGCTACTTAAGTTCACCTGTGGCTAGACTTTTGCTATGTCGGGGCAAAAGTCAGTGGTGCTTTGCACAGGTGCCCATTTCTATTATTTGCAGTTTCAAATTTTCTGTTCTCCCTTCATTTCTTAGTTGTAACATACATCCATGGAGCTATCTTCCTGTACAAAAAGGAAAGAAAAATCCCTTTTCTAGAAACAGATAGTGCTCTCAGGAGCTCTGTCTGTGATGCCCCCACTCTATCAGCCAGGATTGACCCATCTCTGGGTGGGCGCCAGAGTGAGTTGAGACCCTTCCCTGAGAATTCTCCCTTTTTCTGGCTGTAGCTGTTAAGTGGGAGGGCTCTATGCAGTCTTTTCTGCTCAGTGGAGAGCAGGTCCACTGAAAGAGAAGCATGAGGCAGATACAGAGAAAAGCAGACAGAGGGAGAGTTCTAGGAGTCGAGTCCTGGTTCTGGGCGGCTGCTGAGATCCAGCTGTATGCATGCCTTTGGATTCTGTAATTCATCTCTATAACCTTATTATAAACTCTTGTTTGCTTAAGCTAGCTCCAGTGGGTTTCTATGACTTATATCCAAAAAAAGCCCCAACTGACAACATTAGTAAAATTCCTTTGAAAAATTCCAGCCTTGTCTTGCCTGAACTAAGAAAAAAGAAAAAAAATACAGCCCGTGCCAGAAATGTGAGCCAAATGTGGTAGAGACTAGAGAATGCTGGGTTGAGCTGTGGGGCAAAGGGTTGGACAGGGGTCAAGGGAGAGGGAAAATTCAGGACGGGGGTGGGGTGTGTGTAGAGGAACAGGAGTCCTGTCCTGCCAGGAATATTCTTTCAAGTGTTTCTTTGACGATGTATGCATACAGCGGTGTGAGTCACAGGGTGTGATTTCTTTTCAGCAGGCTAAATAGAGGATTATCTACCCCATTTGCAAAATCCTTCTCAGAAGAGGCTACAGGGCCTCTCCCCTGGTCCCTGACCTGGGGCAGATACTGAATAAGCTCTGGGGTCTATTCTGAGTTTGCTGGCTCCGCAGGAACAATGGAGAGACAGATGTACTTGTTGGCCTGGACTAGGTGGATATAGCTGTCTAGAGACCAGGGACAGAGTAGAGGACTCTGAGAAAGCTATGCCAGTGGGATGATGCTCAGAGAGGAGTGTAGAACCTGCTCACCAGAGCTCCTCCGTTCCTTCCCTTGGTGCTTTGAGATGCAGGCCATCTAGCTATGACTGGCTCCATGCGTGTTTATCTGTCACTGAGTCTTTATCCCTCATTCATCCAGGGACTCCCCTAGGTTGTCTATCCAACAACAAACCTTCTTCACTTCGAGGTGATTGATGAAGATCTCCTGGCTGGTTCCAACTGGATCCCAGGAGAACAGGGCTTCATGGAGTTCCAACGCTGTAGATGGCTCTGTGGGGGGATCTGAATAGGGAAAAAAATATTCAACTTGGGCTGCTAAGGCACAACCTACTTACTTGGAGAGGGTAAACCAGGAACATGTCATTGGCTTGCCTGTCCTGTATCTACTGGCCCAGGGCTAATTCAGCCTTAGTCTTGGTCTGAGGATTCTTCCCCAGGAAATGTCCACTTGCTCTGCCTGGATTCTGCTGCCTCTGGCCCTTCTTGCTGGCACCTATGTACAGCGTCCTAGGGGCTATTGTTCCCTCCTCACCCTGTGCCAGGCTCTTCCTTCTAGCTTCCCATTACCTGGGCTATAGTAGACTTGGGGGCTGTGGTTGGGAAGGTCAAGGAAACGCTGGATCCGGTCCAAGGACACTTTGGCCTCCAGGAGGCCATTGATCACCCAAGGGAAGTTGTTGAGGGGAAGAATGAGCAAGCGCACCAGTGCCAATGCCGTGAACACCTAAGTAGGGCAGAAGGGGGATGAAGCATCACCTGAAGCCCAGGAGCTATCTGAAGGCAGACAGGGGTGTAAAAGGAAGAACAGGGCAGCAGCAGAACAGAGGGGTGGCTGGAAAATCCTTGGGTGGCAAAGGTAGCCATCTCAGAACCTTAGAAATTCCAGATGTTCCTCCAGAGATGCAGGTAGCATCTCAATAAGCACACAGGCCTGGGGCATTCTGAGACTTTCTCAGAATTTCTTTTTTTTTTTTTAAATTTTTTTTTATTTATTTATTTATGATAGTCACAGAGAGAGAGAGGCAGAGACATAGGCAGAGGGAGAAGCAGGCTCCCTGCACTGGCAGCCTGATGTGGGATTCGATCCAGGGTCTCCAGGATCGCGCCCTGGGCCAAAGGCAGGCGCCAAACCGCTGCGCCACCCAGGGATCCCCTTTCTCAGAATTTCTAAGTACATTGTCTGGCCCTGGCTAGAGCCAGCACTGGATCATGGGGTTTTTCCCCCCAAAGTGATTAGAATGAGGATAAGGGAACCTAACATGGAGCCTGGGGCTAATATCAAAGAGGATGGAAGAGAGGGGGAAAAAAAGGAATTCCTTCACAGAGCAAAGGGTGATATATTTGGGACCCTAGAAAGTTCGGAGAACTCCCCCTCAGTTGGAAAAGGTTAAGGTAGTCAGATATCCTCCTTCCCAGCAGCCCCAAGGGCCTGAGGCTACCTCTTAACTCCATCACAGCCTCCTTGCTGTCACCTCTCTACACTTTCCTACAGCCATCCCCTCTTCTGGAACTCACCTTGGTGGCAGTGAGCTGGTGCCCCATGAGGACATAGGTGATGAAGATGACAATGGAGATGACAACCGGCAGGGCAGCCCACAGGTACACACAGGCTGCATCCAGGTATTTGATGACTCTGAGCCGCCCCAGTTCTTGAGCCCGGCAGGCCTCTACCCGGGCCCCCAGTGCCTGCTCCCACCCGAAGAACTTGATGACCCGAATGCCACTCAGCAGCTCTGTCATGAGCTGGGGAGGGAGACAAGAAAGTAGAGTGAAGTGGAAACCCTGCTCACAGGTGTCCACTCTCCTCCACCCAGAAGTTACTGGGAGAGAAAGCAGAGTCCTAGGCTCCTAGATACCCTGTACTGCCCTAGCACTGGTCTCCTTCCTCACCTCAGCTCTTTCTGAAGAAATACCACCCTCAAATAAATCCCTTTCAGGGGGATCCCTGGGTGGCTCAGCGGTTTAGTGCCTGCCTTTGGCCCAGGGTGCAATCCTGGAGTCCCGGGATCGAGTCCCACGTCAGGCTCCTGGCATGGAGCCTGCTTCTCCCTCCTCCTGTGTCTCTGCCTCCCTCTCTATGTCTATCATAAATAAAAAAACAAACAAACAAACAAATAAATAAATAAATCTTAAAAAAAAATCCCTTTCAGTCCTGAGCTGCTTCCCCTGCCAATCTTTTTACTTTTCCTCTGTGTGTGTGCTCTAGAGTGGAGAACAAGTCAGAGCTGGAGTCCCTTCACCTTCCTACTCCCTAGGTAGAAAGTACTGAGGCGCTACCACACTGGCCTAAAAGCTCTCCTTCCATAAGAGGAAGGACTAAGAACTACTTCTCAAGGCCAGAACAGAGGGCTTCAGGAGCCAGTCGCCAGTCTGGCCCATGGCTTGGGTGGTACAGGAACTATTTCTGTAGGAGCGTACAGGTGTAGGAGGCCCACACCACAGCCCAGGGTCAGACAAGCCAACAAGTCTATGCAAGATGGGCAGGGGCTAGAGAAACTCCTTGGATCCAAACATTCACACATCCCCAGTCTGTAAGCCAGGGAGGCACTGGGAGCTTCCCGGATGGCGCTAGAGACCTAGTCTGTAGCTGTCATGGGTAGGAGAAAAGGGCCTGGGCTATGAAGGACCTTCCTCCTATTAGCGCTCTGAGCTATTACCATAAGAGGCTGACAACTATGCTGTGCGGACCTCCAGGCCTGCCATCCTCCTGTCACTGCAGAACCCAGACACTCAACACCCAGACCGGCCCAGGCAGAGGACTGGCCTACTCCCTTCCCCTCAGCCCATCCCTTAGAGGTAGCTGGGGCTCTCCTAGACCTCTCCACTCCACCTGTGGCTATGAGATGATCTCTGCCCTAGATGAAGAGGTAGAGGACTCGGGTCCTGCCACTCATACTAAAAGCCCATTTAGTCCCAGACAGGCTACTTCCTACCTCCTCAGTTTGCTGCTTACAGCTGCATGAGCTAATACTGCAGTGTTACTAACAGGCCACTTTTATTTATTGCTTACTTTGTGACTGGCCCCATACCCAGAGTCACCTCATACGATCCTCACAACCACCCTCTGAAGCAAGCTATTATGGTCATTTCTCAGATGAAAAACTAGAGGCCCAAAGAGGTTAAGTGACTCGTTTGGGGTGATTAAACTAGTAAGTGGTAGAGTTGGGATATGAACTCATGTCTTTCTCCAGTTGGAGCTCTTAACTTCTAGAGTATGCTCTCACCCTCAGGCCCTGTGCATGGGAGGACCTGGGGACCAGGTGGGTGGGTCCTCAGCTCCAGATTGCTGAGGGACCCTAAGCAGCCCTCACCTTAACCCTTGCGTCCTTGTGCTGTAGCATCTCCTGGTTGCTGGCCATGATGCGCGTGGCAATCACTTTGTTGACAGGGACCAGCAGCAGGGCCAGGATCAGACCACCCACGAAGGCCACACCCACCTGCTGGTGCAGCAGATAGAGGGTAATGGCCAGCTGCAGGGGCAGGCCCCAGGCTTCATGGAAGCTCCCAGCAAAGTTGAGCAGCCGCTCAGAGTCGGTGCCCAGTAGGTTCAAGGCCTCCCCGGCAGGAGGGCGTCTGGGCCCCAGCTGTAAAGCCTTTCGGTACAGAATATTCAGCACAGCCCCCCGTGCCTGAAGTGTCACCTTCCATATCTCATACCCATACTGATTCTGTAGCACAGCACCCAGGACGGCCCCACCAGCTAGCCCCAGGGCATACAGTAGTCCATTGCTTAGTGGTTCCTGCCCCTCCTCCAGGAAGCCCACCAGGAGGGAAAGCAGCAAGGGCCCTGAGAATCCCAGCATGGTCCCCACCAGCTTCAGGAGTCCAAGTGCCAGGTAGTGCCGGCCAAAGGCCTTATACAGGGCTTTCCACAGCCGGACCCCTTCCTGCCAATGTGCCTGGAAGATACGAGCCAGGTAAGTTGGGTGCAGTCTGCGTGGAAGGTGGCAAGTGTCCTGGGGCTGCCGGAGCTCTCCACGGGCCCCTCGGGCCAGCAAGGGTGTCAGCCAGGCATAGGAAAAGCGTGACAGCCAACTTTCTCCATCTTCAGCTACCTCAGACTCCTGTCCTTGAGACAGGAGGAGCTCCTGGGCCCAGGGCCCCCGTGATGCCCCAGGGACCGCCCAGCCCAATCCATAGGCCAAGAGCGCAGCCAGCTGCAGGATGAGAAGACATAGGCGGGATAGGGGTCCTGGGAGAAGCGGGGGCAGAAGTGTGCCTCGTTGGCAGTGCCACAGCAGAGTCAGCATTAGGGCTGGGGCTGGCAGGAAGGCAGCCAGAGCCAAGGCCAATGGTCCCCGGGAGTGGCCATGAGGGGAATGAGCCAACGCCCACAAGGCCAGGCAGTGGCTGATCCAGGCCACAGCTGCCACACCCCCTGCTAGCACTTCTAGCCCTATGGGTCCTGGGCCTGCCCCTGGTGGCAAAACCACTGGAAGGAGGTCTAGTAATGGAAAGATGAAGAGCAGGAAGGAGGCTGTGAGTCGGAGGCGCCAGCCGGGACTGCAGTACAGGATATACTCTGGATTCCTAGGGACAGGGGGGACAAAAGAAAGGGAGGCACATAGTGGCTGATTGAGGGCCAGACACATCACTAATAACTCACTTACCTAGAGGCAATCAGCTCCTTTCCTGCCTTTTACACCTTATCTGTATCTCGCTTTACCCTGAAATACAAGGGGTTTTTCCCAGGAAGTCTTCCTGGCACAACCTAATCTGTTTTCCAATCTACCCATACCATTTCTGATCATTCTTTTGCCACAAACTAACAATTCTTAGTTAAGGATGTATGAAACGTGTGGTGCCTGGGTGGCTCAGTTGGTTAAGTGTCTGCCTTCAGCTCAGGTCATGATCCCAGGGTCCTGGGATCAAGCCCCACATCGGGCTCCCTGCTCGGCCAGGAGCCTGCTTCTCCCTCTCCCTCTGCCCTTCCCTTGCTTGTGCTCTCTCTCTCTCACTTTCTATCAAATAAGTAAATAAAAACAATTTTTAAAGGATGTATGGAATGTGAAGACTAATTAGGAAAAAAATCCTAAATTTTCATACAGATAACAACCAAGAAATGAATACTCACTTTTATAAAAATATCTACCTAAAATAATCCTTAAACTCACCTGAAACACTACTAGATGAATAAAGACTTGATTTATATATGGCTTCTACACTCGACTACAATAGCCTAAATTTTACAAAGCCTCAGAATATTCTACTCTCTGACTTTCCAACGGTTCTAGAAGGTGGTATAGGTCGTATTTGTGACTCCACTTGCTGAACAAAACGTCTATTTTAGTTTTGTCTCTATCTTCTTGGCAAGCCAAAAACATTTTTAGTCAACCAAAGGGTGATCTGCCTACGTTAAAAATTAAGTACAGTATACCTGCAGCAGTGCATATGAGAATGTCTTGGGGGTTTACATAATGAGACGACTAAATCTATTGTTCCTTTTATTGGCAGAGCTGGGTTACTGAAAAAGTTTAATCCTAGATTAGAATGCTTTGGATTTCCTCTAAAAAGTCCAGTTAATCACAGTAATATGGAGCAGTTTATACTGGAATAAAAGTCAACCTTTAAGAATTCTTTAAGATGTAGGGACAAAACACTGGGCTCTTGGAGGCCCCAAACTGGCCATCAGTCAGTCTTAAGCCCATGAGTAAGGTCTCCTTCCCTCTCTGCACTTCATTTTTCTCATCAGTATGGTGAGCAGTAAAGAGTCTGGACCCAAAGCCCTCTATAGTCCTTTCTTGTCTGAGATTCTGGATCTAACCCTTTTCAGCAATGTACAAAAACTCTTAAAAGTGAAATGCAAAAACCACAATTTCTATTGATTATATGATGGTCTTTCTTGCCTGCTCAAAGACTGAGTTCTTGAAGCACTGTGTCTATTTTTAATAGAAAGTCCTAAAAAAAAAAAAAAAAAAAAAAAGAAAGTCCTCTGAGCAGGCTTTGGATGTCTAGGCTAACTGACTAACCCTCTCTAGACTTCTGCCTCATTCTATGTAAAAGACAAACCAGGATTCCTCCCAGACCAACAGATCCCAAGCTTCTCCTCCTCAAGGAAGGGATTCATCAGCCCCCTGATTCATCTGGGATAAGGACACATTCCATCTATCAGACTAGGGACCCAAAAAAGCAGACAGTAGACTTCTCTCCTGCTTTGTCAATAGCCAGAGTGAGAGTAACTTTAGACATATCTAGCCATACAGAAATAAATACAAAACCAAGGTAAGTTTGGCACAGGCACATTACGGCTCCAAACCCAGGAAGATTAAGGTTTTGATTTTGCTCTTCTCTTCTACCTACTGCTTCCTCTCCATCTGGGTAGATATGATTCTCTATTCTAGGGAATACTGAGTTCTCATGGATGGAAGTGGTGAGAAACTGGTCCTACAACTTCAACACACGCTACCTTTATTGGCTAAAAACATTGTTCGCCCAGTTTTGCGTTCAATTCATGACACGTTGCTGCAAAGTGCTAATGCTAGATTTTATTCTATTTTTGCCCTACTCCACAGACCTCACTATTCTGATTACACTCCCGCGGAGATGTGGGTTTCAGGAGAGGTCTGCAAGCACACATGGACAGATGCGTTGCACCTGTTTCTACCCACCTCGGAGTGCCCCAGTGGCAGGCACTGAGCACGGCGAGGAGCGCATGGGGCAGGGCGCTGAGCACCAGCTGGGTGAAGCAGTGGCCGGTGGTGTCCCCCTCCCACACCGGGAGCGGGTGCAACACGCTGGTGTCGCACAGCTGGGCCAGGAACCGCTCCATGGTCGCTTCACCTGCGAGGAGAGCCGGGGGTGGCGGCAGGCAAGGATCCTCCCAGGTAGGGGGGAATCCGTGTTACAACGGCGAGGTCCAGGCAGGCAGCCGACACCCAGTGGGACAGAGCGGGGACGCGCACCCGGAAGCCGGGGTGCCGTCCGCGGGCCCTGACAGCCGGGTCTCCCCGCCTCCAACCCCGCCCCCGAACCGGGACCGCCCCTCGCTGCGGCCCGGACGCCAGACCCCACCCATTCTCGCGTAACCTCGAAGGGAAGTGGTTCGGCTTCCAAGAGCCGGCCGACCTCTGGAGCGGTCGCCCCGCCGGCCTCGCTTGTTCTCCCGTCCCTTGTGTCTCCGACCCCAGAGGTCCGGAACGTCTAACCTGAAGGTGATGCTCGCCAGCGGACCCCGAGGTCCCGAGCACTGGTGAATGCAAAAGAGCCTGGCGCTGTGTTAGGGTGCTAGCCAGGCTCGCTTGGCACCCTGTGTGGGCGGGACGGCCTCTGCGGCGCCGCTCGCCCCGCCCATTCGCCGGGCTTCTCTCCGTGCCCGCGCGTGCGCACTTCTCTCCGTGCCCGCGCGTGCGCACTTCTCTCCGTGCCCGCGGTGTCTGGGAGCCGACGCGCCGCGGCGGTGTGTCGGGGCCTCCAGCGGGCTTATACTGCCTTATTTGCATGGGACGGACGTCAGCCCTAGTGCAACGTCATTTATACCCTCTCAGGTAGAGTCCTCGCTCCCATCTGTCTCCTGTTTACTAGCAGGCACATGCATTGCACTAATTCTTAAAGCTTTGGGACTGAGAAGCCGAACGTGCATGCTACACTGATGAATAATGCCACTTGGGGACATTTACACCATTACCGTCTTTATTCCAAGGCTGCGTGGCTTTGGGGAAGTTACCTGGGTCCTTTGAACTTCAGGTGTTTTGTTTTGTTTTGTTTTGTTTTTTCCCGTGCAATTGGGCAATACCACTACTAAGGTACTAATGAGAGTGTTGAATAAAATCTTTAGGGCAAGTGCCTTGCTTAAAGTAGTCCCACAATACTTAAATACATTTTTTAAAGGTTTTATTTATTCATGAGAGACACACACAGAGAGAGGCAGAGGCATAGGCAGGAAGGGAAGTAGGCTCCCTGGGAGCCTGCTGCCAGGACTCCATCCCAGGATCCCAGGACCCCAGGATCACAACCTGAGCCCAAGGCAGATGCTCAACCACTGAGGCACCCAGGTGTCCCAATAAATACTTACTTATTTATTTATTTAAAAAGATTTTATTTATTTATTCATGAGAGACACACGCAGAGGGAGAAGCAGGCTCCCTGAGGGGAACTCCATGCGGGACTTGATCCCAGGATCACAACCTGAGCCAAAAGCAGATGTTCAAGCATTGAGCTACCCAGGCACCCCTCAATAAATACATTTTAGGAAAGCAGTGGGAAGAGTAGTTAGATGCACCTAGCTTTAAATCCTGACTCAACCATTGTTTAGCAATGTGGTCTCCGGACAAGTTGCTTCTTCATCTTAGTTTTATTATCTGTGTATTGGGCATAGTGTTGGCACCTTACAAAAGTATGTACAGCACTCAAAAATAGCTCAACAAATAACTGTGATTGTCCCATTTAGTCTTAGTAAGAAGCCTGGTATCTCTAATATCAGGAATTAGTGTTCCTATTTTTATAAATTAAGAAATGTAGATGGATGGCTCAATGAGTTAAGCATCGATTCTTGATTTCTGCTCAGGTCATGATCTCAAGGTCCTGAAATTGAGCCTGGAGTTGGGCTGTGCATTGTGTGTCGAGCCTGCCTCCCCAAGATTCTCTTTCTCTCTCCTTCACACACCTCCCCACCCACCCACCCATCACAGGCACTCTATCTCTCTCTAAAAAGAAAAAACAAAAAAAAAAAAAAAGGAAATGTAGATTTGCATTTCACAACTGAGTTCCCCCTACTCATCTGAAGAAAGTGATACAGGGTGAAGCCCCCTCATTTGCATAACAGTCTAATGCCCTAGTTTTCTTTTTTTAATTTAATTTAATTATTTTATTTTTATTTATATTTTATATTATTTTATTTTTAATTTAATTATTTTATTTATTCATAAGAGAAACAGAGAGAGAGAGAGGCAGAGACATAGGCAGAGGGAGAAGCAGGCTCCATGCAGGGAGCCCGATGTGGGACTCGATCCCAGGACCCCGGGATCACGCCCTGAGCCAAAGGTAGATGCTCAACCTCTGAGCCACCCAGGCATCCTTAGTTTTCTTTTGTAAGATTTTTTTTAAGATTTTATTTATTTATTTGAGAGAGATAGCAAGGGAGAGCACAAGCCAAGGAGAGAGGCAGAAATGGACTCCACACCCGGCAGGGAGCCTGTGATGCAGGGCTCAATCCCGGGGTTCCTAGAACCATGACCTGAGCCAAAGGCAGATGCTTAACCAACTGAGTCACCCAGGTGCCCTCTAATGCCCTGATTTTCATTAGGAAGTTTGACAGAGGAGTCATACCACTGACAGGATCATTTCTGAGTGTCACAAACAACCAACCTACATTTTCCCCAGAACATAGATCATTTGAAACAAATCATTTCTCCAGTCAGTATTATTTAGCCCCTTAGTTTTAACCAGTTTCCCAGAGAAATTTTACACCATGGTTTCTAAAATATGAGGCAAACGGTACAAATTTGTCTTCCTTTTACTTTTAGGGAGTTGTTGGTAAGTGGAGTGATAGCTAGGTGTGAATATGAGGTAAAGAGGGAGAAGAGAAAATCATTGGTCACTAGATAATTCACAATCCATAGAGTAGAAGGATGACCAAATTAGCCAAAATCTGGATGGTTAAAGGAAGATTCTACAACTTTGAAAACCAACTTCAGACTCATCATATCCAGATCTAATACAAACTGTCCACCTTAAAGATTAAACAACAGAGGTTATGGAGCAGCAAATGAGTTTATTCAGGAATAGCAAGAGGAAATGCAATTCAGGACACTCAAGTGATGACAAACCATAGGCAAGTACAGAGAGCAGAGGAGGAGAGTGTCCTTGTGTTCTTTTAAGAGGAAAGGAGGGAGCTGGAAGGGGTGGTTTTGAACACAAATCTATTGGAGGAAAATGAGCATTGGAAGTGGCTGCAGGTGAGGGCAGCTTGCTATTGCTGGGCTGGGAGGAAATCTTCCTTCTTCCTACTAAGCTGTGCAAGCTTCCATGAGTGATAGTGCATGAGAGCTCCCCCTTCATGGCTTCATTATTGCTTTTTTTTAATGATTTTATTTATTTATTCATAGAGACACAGAGAGAGAGAGAGAGGCACAGGCAGAGGGAGAGGGAGAAGCAGGCTCCACGCAGGGAGCCCAACATGGGGCTCGATCCAGGATCCCCAGGATCAAACCCCAGGCTGCAGGCGGCGCTAAACCGCTGCGCCACCAGGGCTGCCCTGTTATTCCATTTTGAATGAGGTTTCCTTTATGTATTTTTACAGAACTGAGCCTGGGTGACCAGGCACTCACGGAGTTAGTGGGAGTGGGAGTAGGCAAATTGAGATTCAGCTGAGTACCTAAGAGGGGCTGATAGAGAAGAAAATGCAATAGAGGTATTTCTGAGGAATGAAGAAGAGCTCTCTCAGATAATAGCTTCCCAAGGAAGTAGGTTCTGTCTCCCAGGTCCCCTCTTGGCTTACTTTCTCCTTTCTGCTTGCACTTTGCTCCATAGTTATCAGCAAGGTGATTTGCTAGAGAGCAACGGGGCAAGTGTGGCTATTACTGAATCTAGTCAAGTTTCTTGCCACACCCAGGTGTTTGTCCTACCCACATCTTTATCATGCCTGGTCACCATTTGAGAGGTCACTTGAGTGGTGCTAGTCTGAAGGCTAGGAAGGGAATAGGAACTAGGGCTGCCCAAACCACCTGTCATTAGCTTCTTTTTCCCAAAGATGACCTTTCCTATAAATGAAATCATATACTATGTGGCCTTTTGTGTCTGGCTTCTTTCACTTAGCATGTGTTTTTGAAGTTCACCAATGTTATAATATGTATTAGTTCATTCTTCTTTTACTTCTTTTTTAAAGATGTATTTATTATTTTAGAGGTAGGGTGAGAGGGAATCTTAAGCAGATCCTGCCCTGAGCACAGAGCCTGATACAGGGCTCAATCACATGACCCTGAGATCACGAACTGAGCCAAATCACGAGTTGGATGCTTAACTGGCTGTGCTATCCAGGTGCCCTCATTCCTCTTTTTAAAACAAACTTATTAAAAAAAAATAAATCAAACAAACGTATTGAGAGCTAATTCACATAAACAATTCACTTAGAGTGTACCATATAAGGTATACAATTCAGTGGTTTTGACTACATTCACATATATATTCAATTATCATCACAGTAAACTTTAGAACATATTCATCACCTCAAAAAGAAACCCTATACCCTTTAGCTATCTCTCTTTTATTCATCATGTCCCTTCCCTTCCACTAGCCCTAATCCATCTGTCTCTAGAGATTTACCTACTTTAGACTTTCATATGAATGCACCATATATGTGAACTTTTGTGACTTTTTTTTCATTTAGCATAATAGTTTTCAGTGTTTTTTTTAAAGATTTATTTACTTATTTTAAATTTTTTTAATTTTTATTTATTTATGATAGTCACAGAGAGATAGAGAGTGAGAGGCAGAGACATAGGCAGAGGGAAAGCAGGTTCCATGCACCGGGAGCCTGACGTGGGATTCGATCCCAGGTCTCCAGGATCACGCCCTGGACCAAAGGCAAGCGCCAAACCGCTGCGCCACCCAGGGATCCCAAGATTTATTTATTTATTTATGAGAAACACAATGCGAGAGAGAGGCAGAGACACAGGCAGAGAGAGAAGCAGACTCCATGCAGGGAGCCTGATGTGGGACTCGATCCCGGGTCTCCAGGATCACACCCTCGGCTGCAGGCAGCACCAAACCGCTGTGCCACAGAGGCTGCCCTAGTTTTCAGTGTTTATGCAATTTGTAGCCTGTATCAATACTTCATTCCTTATTTCTTTTTATTGTGGTGAAATGTACATATCATAGAATTTACCAGTTTAAACATTTTAAATATACATACAGTTTTATTGGTACTAAGTATATTTATATTGTTGTCTAGTCATCACCACTATCTATCTACATACTTCTTCCATCTTCCCAAACTGATACTTTATACCCATTACATGCTAGTTCTGCACTCCCCCTCTCTCAAACCCCTGGAAACCACTATTCTGTTTTGTCTCTATAAATTTGAATAGTCTAGGTATTTCATATAAGTGGAATCATACAAATATGTCTTTTTGTGACTGGCCCATTTCACTTAACATAATTGTTTTTTAGCTTCTATTAATGGATTGTTCATTGCAATTGTATAACAATATAATTTTTAAAAATATTGATCTTGGGGCACCCGGCTGGCTCAGTCAGAAGAACATGTGACTCTTTTTTTTTTTTTTAAGATTTTATTTATTTATTAATGAGAGACAGAGAGAGAGAGACAGGCAGAGGGAGAAGCAGGCTCCATGCAGGGAGCCCAATGTGGGACTCGATCCCGGGACCCCAGGATCATGCCCTGGGCAGAAGGCAGGTGCTAACCACTGAGCCACCCAGGGATCCCCTTGTTTCCTTTGTATAAGTAGGCTTCACTCCAGCATGGAGCCCAATGTGAGGCTCAAACTCATGACCATGAGATCAAGACCTAAGCCAAGATCAAGAGTCAGACACTTAACTGAGTCACCTAAGCACCTCAGCTGTGTGTTTTTAATAGATGATCTTTATCAGTTTGAGGAAGTTCCCTTCTATTCCTAATTTGTTGAGTGTTTTTTATCATGAAAGGGTGTTGGGTTTTGTCAAATTTTTCTTCTTTGTCTATTGAGATGATCATGTAATTTTTTTCCATTCTAGTAACAGAACGTATTACATGAACTGATTTTCAGATGTTGAACCAACCTGGCATTGTAGTTTTTTTCCTTTTTATTCCTGAGTGGTATTCCATTGAATGAATATACCACATTTGTATTCATCCATTGAAGGAAGTTTGGGTTGTTTCCAGTTGGGCTATTATGAATAACACTGCTATAAACACTCATATAAATGTCTTCATGTGGGAGTGCATGAGTAGCTCAGTCAATTGGGCACCTACCTTTGACTCAGTCATGGTCCCAGGGTCCTGGGTTGGAACCCCACATTGGACTCCCTGCTCAGCAGGGAGTCTGCTTCTCCCTCTCCCTCTTTCCCAGCTTGTGCACTCATTCTCACTCACTCACTCACTCTCTCTCAAATAAATAAAATCATTTTTTAAAGATTTTATTTATTCATGAGAGACACAGAGAGAGAGAGAGAGAGAGAGAGGCAGAGAGACAGGCAGAGGGAGAAGGAGGCTCCATGCAGGGAACCTGATGTGGGATTCGATCCCAGGACCCCGGGGTCATGCCCTGGGCTGAAGGCGGCGCTAAACCGCTGAGCCACCTGGGCTGCCCAAAAGCACTTTTTTTTTTTTTTTAAGATTGTATTTATTTATTTGACAGAGAGAGAGAGTACAATCAAGGGGAATGGCAGGCAGAGTGAGAGGGGGAAGCAGGCTCCTCACTGAGCAGGGAGTCCCTAGTGCTCTTGATCCTAGGACCCTGGGATCAGGACCTGAGCCAAAGGGAGACGCTTCACTGACTGAGCCACCCAGGTGCCCCTGGGCCAGCACTTTTTTTTGGGGGGGGGGGGCAGCACTTTTAATTGTTTCTCTTTTTAATTTTAGCCATTCTAGTGGTGCTAGATGATATCTCATTGTGGGTTTTTTTCTTCATTATGTTTCTTTTTTAAGATTTTATTTATTTATTCATGAGAGACACAGAGAGAGAGAGGCACAGACATAAGGAGAGGGAGAAGCAGGCCCCCGCAGGGAGCCCAACGTGGGACTTGATCCCGAGTCTCCAGGATCACACCCCGAGGAGGTGCTAAACCACTGAGCCACCCGGGCTGCCCCTTCATTATGGTTTTAATTTGCATTTCTCTGATGGATAATGATGTTGAACATTTTTTCAACTGCTTATTTTCATGTGCTTTTTAGTCATTCATACATTTTCTTGAGTGAAATGTGTGTTGAATTCTTTTGCTCATTTTTAAATTCTGTTGTTTTGACAAAAAGCATGTTTAATAGCATTGTATGGTGACAGGTGGTAGCTACACTTGTGGTCAACATAGTATAACATATAGACTTGGGGAATCACTGTGTTGCATACCTGAAACTAATGTAACATTCTGTGTCAACCATACTTCAATAATAATAATAACAAGAAAGAATGGTAAAGTCAGTGCAGGAGGAGAAGAGAATGAGGCTTGAGAGGAAGAATTTTTTTTCCTTTAAGTAGGCTCCATGTCCATTGTGGGGCTCTTGAGATCAAGAGTCACATGCTCTACTGATTGAGCCAGCCAGGTGCCCCAAAAGGAAGAAATTTATTATACTCACATATCCTAGAGAGGTCACTGCACGCTCTGCAGGGCCACATAGCAAGCACCAGCATTGGTCGCGAGGTGGAGCATTGTCCATGGCCCTTGCTGGGCTTTCCATGGAAAAGGCAAGGCAGAACAGTTTAGGATTGGCTAGTTTAAAATAATTTTGGTCAGCTGTAAGCTATAGAGGTGGTCCTTAGTTACCTGGTACTGGGATCTAGAGTCATTTAGGGCAAGGGAAATGCAGTTTACCCTTAAGCAATGTGAGGGTTGGGGCACCAGCACACCCTGTCTCCCACCCTGTGCGCAGTCAAAAATCTGCATATACCTTTTGACTCCCCTAAAAATTTACTAATAGTGTACTGATGCCTGAAAGCCTTACTGCTAACATAAACAGTCAACACATATTTTGCATGTTGTGTATTTTATATACTGTATCCTTACAATAAAGTAAGCTAGAGAAAAGAAAATAGGGGTGCCTGGGTGACGTAGTTTGTTAAGCATCTGCCTTTGGCTCAGGTCATGATCCCGGAATCCTGGGATCAAGCCCCTGTGACCGACGCTGCTTGGCAGGGAACCTACTTCTCCCTCTCCTCCTGAGCTCAAGTTCTCTATCATTACCTCTCTCTCTCAAATAAATAAATTAAAAATATATTTTTTTAAAAAGAAAAGAAAATGTTATTGGGAAAATATAAGGCAGAGAAAGTACATTTATAGTACTGTAGTATGTTTATTGAAAAAATTCCATGTTTAGGGAGATCCCTGGGTGGCTCAGCGGTTTAGCGCCTGCCTTCGGCCCAGGGCGCGATCCTGGAGACCCGGGGTCAAGTCCCACGTCGGGTTCCCTGCATGGAGCCTGCTTCTCCCTCTGCCTGTGTCTCTGCCTCTCTCTCTCTCTCTCTGTCTATCATGAATAAATAAATAAAATCATCTTTAAAAAAATTCCATGTCTAAGTAGACCTGCACAGTTCAAACCCGGGCTGTCCAACGGCCAACTGCATTGGCTTAGCATGTGAAAGTCCTATCAGAAGTAGTTGGTAGGCATATGAAAGGGATGCTTGAAGGCTACTCTGGAAGGGGCAGACTCTCCTCAGCCAGAAAGGTGTTTTATTTTTTATTTTTTTTTTAAATTTTTTTTTTTTATTTATTTATGACAGTCACAGAGAGAGAAGGAGAGAGAGGCAGAGACACAGGCAGATGGAGAAGCAGGCTCCATGCACCGGGAGCCCAACGTGGGATTCGATCCCGGGTCTCCAGGATCACGCCCTGGGCCAAAGGCAGGCGCCAAACCGCTGCGCCACCCAGGGATCCCCCCCAGGCATCCCTCTTATGATCTATTTTAAATACTTTTTTTGGTCAAAAACTCAGAGTTGTATTTTTTTAAAGAGTTTATTTATTTATTCATGAGACTCAGGGGTGGGGCAGAGACACAGGCAGAGGGAGAAGCAGGCTCCATGTAGGGAGCCTGACACGGGACTCGATCCCGGGTCTTCAGGATCTCGCCCTGGGCTGAAAATGGCACTAAACCGTTGAGCCACCCGGGCTGCCCAGAGTTGTATATTTTTAATACATTCAATGTACAGGAAGTGTCTGCCATATATATATACTGACAATGTCTGTCCTCTGTCAAATACTTCATCTTCCATTGAAATAAACTAATCATGGCCCTGTGATAACAATAATATCTTACTCTGAAGTTGAATGGCTAAATAGACTGAGAAGATATGGCATCTTGCTGTGAATTTATCCTTGAATGCAATAAAGTGACTTCATCTGCTGCATTTCTTGCCTACATTCTCTGTTTTGTTCTCACAGGATCCTCCCTCAGGAGGAGTTTTGATAGTAGTCAGAGCAAAAGACTGGAGGTAAGTGAAAATTTCTTTTATCCTGTCACCTGTTGATGGAAATTTGGATTGCTGCATCTGTTTGACACTGCTTCCTAATCCACACAGAAAACTGTGGCACTCACTACCACACCTACCACTGAAAGCATCTGTACTCATTACACTCTGTCCTTCTCCTGCATATATATAGCTGGACCATCTCTGCTCACAAAGCCAAGTCCTTGACTTGGGTACTAGATCTCTTCTCCTCTCAACTACTCAGAGACACTGCACCTGCCAGCCATGTGCCCCTCTGTCTTCAGTGTGTCCTGTTTGCATAATCTCCATTAGCAAATATACAAAACTATATGATCTTTCACTGTGATTGTGATTGGGGTTCATGGTATTGTTGGAAAGACGTCATTTATAGGCACAACAGGGCCTGTAAATAAAAGTATGAAAATGAAAAATTAAAGCATAAGGTAGCAAATGATAATGTGCTAAGTTTCATGGCTTCTTTAATAATATAAGTTCAGAAGGTAGATAAGTGTGGTTTTAGGTGGTATAGAGAAACAGAATGGAGGACAGCTTTCTGAAATGCTATATTTATCAGAGTTCTCAGTCACAAGCAATGGAAATAGATTCTGGTTTTTTAAGTTAAGCTATAAATAGCTCACAGAATCACTGGGAAAATTGGAGAACCAGGCTCAGAGCCTAACTGGCTAAGACCACAGCCAAAAATCACTCCATAAACACTGTCTGGTGAGGATACCGCTGTCCACTAGATGTCACACCTCACACCGCTGACACCATCAGGCTGAGAACTGCGCTCCACAGGACTGCCAGAACACTCTTCCATTGATTCTGCTTCTTTCCACCAATAAGTCCAGAGTCAAAGTCTGAGGTAACTGCATCTGATCAGCCCAGCCCAGGTCAGTGCCAGCTTCAGAAGGGGCTGGGAGAGCACATACTTGACATTTTCAGCTTCTAGCATGACTAGTGGGGTCTGAATAAAAGATTCATAAGATTGGAAATTCTGTGATGCTGAGTAGCCTCCCCCAACCCCCTCAAGAAAGAAATGTCCAATTATCATTGGCCAAACCTAGAGGGCAGGAAAAGAAAGGGAAATGTTGGTCAAAGATGGAGAAGTGGTCTAGGATGATGGAAATGATTCTTGAGGAAGCCTAGGAGGAGTATTCATGGAAAGAAAAGCTAGGGGGCCAAGTGCCTTGAAGAATTCTAGGAAGGGTAGGAGTGCACTTTGTATTTGGAAGACTTCACCAAGGGCAATTTTTTAAAAAAGATTTTATTTATTTATTCATGAGAGGCACACACACACACATACACACAGAGAGGCAGAGACACAGGCTCATGCAAGGAGCCTGACGTGGGACTCGATCCCGGGTCTCCAGGATCAGGCCCTGGGCTGAAGTGAAGGCGGTGCTAAACCACTGAGCCACCAGGGCTGCCCACCAAGGGCAATTTTAATGGAATGTCAATTTCAGTGGCATGTTGAGGTCAAAGCCAATTACAGAGACTTGGGAAGAAAATGAGGATAAAGACTGGGAGGAATCTGGCATCAGAAATATTGAGGGGTGCCTGGCTGGCTCAGTTGGTGGAACATGTGACTCTAGATCTGGGGGTTGTGAGTTTGAGCCCTACTTTGGGTGCAGAGATTACTTAAAAATAAAATCTAAAAAAATATATATTTTGAAAATGTTTGCCTCTGTTAATCATCACAAAAACACTATGGGTTTTAATTACTCATGAGGATGATTATCTTTCAGTGGGTTTTTTGGGGGGACACTTGCATTCCTCTTTTGTGAACTGCCCATTCATATCTTTGCTTATTTTTCTATCGAGGTGTTTTTCTCCCAAGGAATTGCAGGTGCTTTTCATTGATTATGGGTGTTAACCCTCTATCTGTCATATGTGTTGCAAATATTTATTCCCCGCCTACTGTCTTTGGATTTCCTTTACCGTGTCTTTTGCTATACAGTTTTAAATTTTATGTTGCCAAATGTGTCTATTCCTTTGTGCATCAGAACGTTGCTCTCATCCTATAGTTACACAAATGTTTGACATGATTTTCCTCTAATATTTTTATTATTTTATCTGGATCTTTTTTTAATCCACATGGCCTGTCAGTTAACACATGTACAAGTGTTTCTTGAGTGGAATTGCTAGGTCATTGGTTCTCAAGTGTTCAAATTCACAAGATGGTGTCATGTTGTTTGCCAAGTAGTTGAACCAAATTACACTCCCATTAGTAGTGGATGAGAATTTCTATATTTTCTGATACCTGGCATTATGAGGCTTCTTAATTTTTAAGAAACTGGTGGCTATACATAGTATCTCATATAATCTTTTAAAAATCCTTTTTGTTTTTGTTCATTTAGATATAATTTACATATACATATGTATGCACAGATCTCAAATAAGTTTGAGCAGTTATGACAAACTATCATTGCCCTAATCAAATTCTACAACATTATCATCACCCCAGAAAGTTCCTACCCCTTTCTAATCAATTCCTGGCCCCCACAGAGGCAGTCAAAGTTCTGGTTGTATTGCCATGAATTAATTTTGCTGGCTTCCACATTTTATATGAATACAGTGTGGGTTCTTTTGTGTCTGGCTTCTTTTCTTTAACATTCTTTTCTGAGATTAGTCTATGCTATTGTATAAGTCAGTAGCTTGTCCTTTTTATTTCTGTCTAATATTCCACTCCAAAGCTGTATCCTCATTTGTTTATCTTTTCATCTGTTGATGGAAATTTGGGTTGTTGCCATCAGAAAAACTTCCAGCAGAAGTTATTAATTTTAATAAAGTCCAGTTTGTCTTTTTTTCTTGTATGGCCAGTACCTTTTACATCCTATCTAAGAAATCTTTGTCTACCTCAAGATTGTTGGGGTTTTTAAAAAAGATTTTATTTATTTATTCATGAGAGACACACAAAGAGACAGAGAGACACAGGCAGAGGGAGAAGCAGGCTCCTGGTGGGGAGCCTGACACAAGACTCAATCCCAGGACCCTGGGATCACTCCCTGACCCCGAAGGCAGACACTCAACTGATAAGCCACCCAGGTGTCCCTCTACCTCGAGATTGTGAAGGCATTCTATATTGTATTAGTTTTCTAGGGCTATATGATCTGTTTTTCACTCATAGTACTTCTGACATCAAATGTGAGTTTTTTTCCATACCAAGCATTTTCTGCAAACATCGACTGAATGTCTTACAATTCATTTCTGACACTAACTACCTAGAATAAGTTCAGACTCTACAGGTTTAAGGGTTTAATCCCAAAACTGCCCTCACCTCAAATGCCCATTGAAAGTTCCAGGTTGCCACCTGCACTTCTGACCAACTGGCTATAACTTGTGAGAGTTCTCACAACTCCCATCTCAGATTCAATAATTTGATAGAATGGTTCACAGAACTCAAGAAAATCCTTTACTTACTATTACTGGTTTATTGTAAGAGACGCATCTCAGGGTTAGCCACATGGAAGAGACACATAGAACAAGATATGGGGTAAGGAACAAGGAGCTTCCTCTGGGCATGCTGTACTCCTAGAACTTTGATATGTTCACCCCATCATTTAGGGATTCCATTATTTAAGCATAATTGATTAAATCATTGGCTATTGGGAATTAACTCAATCTCCAGCTTCCTTCCCTTTCCTAGAGGTGGGGAGTGGAGGATGGGACTGACACTTCTAACCCTCTAATGAAGCCTTGGTCTTAAGGCTATCAACCCCTTTGCCCCCAAAGCCATTTACAGGTTCCCAGCCACTAGTCATCTAATTTCACTCAGTTGATTACAAGGATTTTAGAAGTTCTGTGCCAGGAACTGGGGACAAAGACCAAACATATTTCTTTCTTCCTTCCTTTTTTTTTTAAAAAAAAGTTTTTATAAGGTTCTGTAACCAAACCAATGTGAGTCCCTTCTTTGGTGAGTCAGAAACTGCACCAGGTTGAGTTGTCACACAAAGTACACTTTATTTGCAGCAAATAGGATCACAGGGAATAGCTTGCAAAGTCATGGCTCCTGGAGCAAGGGTGGATGGGTTCCTTTTATTTAGGGTTAGAATGTATATTTAGTTAGAGAAGCCTTGTAATATGTACAGGTGGCAAAGATAGTGCAGGCGCCTTAAGGAAACATGCCTATTCGTACATTGTGTGTTATGTAAATGAGGCTTGTGTTCCTCCCTGGGTGGAGATTTAGGATTCTAATGAGATAAAGGTAGTTGTCAATCATTCCATGGTCTTTCCGTGATCCATCTGTGTAAGCATGAGTTAGGGGTTAAGTTCAAACTGGTCTGGGCCACCTGGGTGGGCAGGAGGTCCTGTCAGGGCAGTCTTTATTGCTCCAGGGGCCATTTTGCTTTCCTTTGCCTGAGTTAAAAGATAAACTGGAAAGAAGAGGTTAAGGATAAAGTAGGATAAAGGTCAGTAAGTACAAGCAGGTGGGCAGTAAAGATCAGGTCTTGGAGACTATCTGTTGACAATTTCACTTAAATTTATTTTTGTCAACATATTGTAAACAACAGAAATATAGAGATAATATATAATAATTTTGGTGCATTACCAAACATAATTGTTCTATAAGTACATTGATTGTATTTATTTTTTTTAGTTTCAGCTGTATCAAGGTAATTGACAAAAAACTTGTAAGACATTTAAAGTATACATCATGATATTTTGATAAATGTATATACTGTGAAGGGAACCCCCATCTAGCTAATTAACACATCTATCACCTCACATATTTATCTTTTTTTTTTTTTTGGTGATAACATTTAAGTTCTACTCTCAGCAAATTTCAGTTATATAATACAGTGTCATCCTACTGCAGTCACCATGTTTTATGGTAGACCCTTGGAACTTAACTCATTTTTTAAAAAAATATTTTATTTATTTGACAGAAAGAGGAGAGCAAGAGAGAGAGAAAGAGAGAGCACAAGCTGGGGAAGTGGCAGGTGGAGGGAGAGAGAGAAGCAGGCCCCCCAAGGAGCAGGGAACCCAACTTGGGGATTGATCCCAGGACTCCAGGACCACGACCTGAGCTGAAGGCAGTTGCTTAACCAATTGAGCTACCCAGGTGCCCCTCATTTTTTTTTTTTTTTAAGATTTTACTTATTTGAGAGAGAGAGAAAGAGATAGCACAAGCCAGGGGGAGAGGCAGAGGGAGAGGGAGAAGCAGGCTCCCTGCTGAGCAAAGAGCCCAACACAGGGCTCAATCCCAGGGCCACTGGATCACAACCTGAGTCCAAGGCAGATGCCCAACTGACTGAGCAACACAGGCACCCCCAGAACTTAACTCATTTTATAGCTGAAAGTTCATACCTTTTTACCAACCTCTCCCTTCTCCACCCCCAACCTCTACCTCTGGCAACTACTTTTTTACTCTCTCTCTCTCTTTCATTTTTTTCCCCCTCACACCTTAAGTGACACTATGCAGTATTTATCTTTCTCTGGTTTGTTTCACATAGCATAATGCCCCCAAGATCTATCCATGTTGTTCTAAGCGGCAGGATTTCCTGCTTTCTCATGGCTGAATAATATTCCCATATATATAATCACATCTTCTTTATTCCTCCACTGAAGGATGTTTAAGTTATTTCTCTATCTTAGCTACCGTGAATAATACTGCAGTGAACATGCAGATATTTCTTTGATATCCTGTTTTCATTTCTTTAGGATTTATATCCCGAAGTGGGATTGTTGGAACATATGGTAGTTCTATTTTTAATTTTTGGAGGAAACTTCATGCTGTTTTCTTTCCATAGTGACTGAAATTTACGTTCCCACCCATGGTGCACAAGGATTCCATTTTCTCCTTATTCTCATTAATGCTTCTTATTTTTTGTCTTTTTTTTTTTTTTTTTTTTTTTTTTTACATTTATTCTTTGCAGAATTTACTCCTGGGCCATAAATTTTTGCTTCTTCAGTTTCTTCTGGAATATCTTTTTCTGTGCAAACTCCTCTTCTGGTTTAGGAACAATCCTGCTCTTTTTCAGTAAGGATCATCTCAATGTGGCAGGGAGAGCACATGTTTGAGTTAATATGACCTGAGCCCTGTAAATTTTACACCGCATCTTGGGGGCTTTGTTCACCTGGATGTGCTCAATGACCAGAGAATCTACCTCTAAACTCTTAAGATCAGGATACCTGGGTGGTTCAACCATTGAGCATGGGCCTTTGGTTCAGGTTGGGATCCTGGGGTCCTGGGATTGAGTCCTGCATTGGGCTTCCCACAGGGAGCCTGCTTTTCCTCTATGTCTCTGCCTTTGTCTCTGTGTCTCTCATGAACAAATAAAATCTAAAAAACAAAATCCCTTAAGTTCAGCATTTACTCTCTGTATTTTTAAGCATGAGCAGTAAAAATTCAGCACCGACCCAGTCAGCTCCACTGTTTGACCTGGGCACACCTACCAACTCCACCATTGTAGGGAAGGAATGACACATGCTGCTTCTGCAAAGTGACATCTTTCAGATACTTGATGACTTTTCAGATATGCATACCCTTGATGGCCTGGGCAGTTTCATGTGTGTTCGTAAAGTGAGCATGAAGATTTGAACCTCTTGACTTGCATGATTTGGTAGGGTTTTCTGGATTAAGCGAACAGAGAACCATTTTCAGAGGTCACCTCATGCCACTTAGAGGAAGAGCATCTTTTGCCTTTTTTGATGATAGCCATTGTAATAGGTGTGAGCTGGTTTCTCATTGTGATTCTGATTTGCATTTCCTTGATAATTAGTGATGTTGAACACCTTTTCATGTACTTGTTGGCCATTATATTGTATATATTCTTCGGAAAACTGTCATTCCGTTTCTCTGCTCATTTTTACATCAGATTTTTTTTTCTTTTTTTTTTTTAATTTTTTTTTTCAGATTTTTTTTTTCTATTGAGGTGTATGGGTCCTTTATATTTCAGATATGAACCTCTTATCAGATACATAGTTTATAAATATTTTCTTCATTTTCTTCAAACTACAGAGTTTGCTCTTTTCAATTGATTGTTTCCCTTGCTCTGTAGAAGCTCTACAGTTTGATGTGATCCCACTTGTTTATTTGCACTCTGGTTGCCTTTGCTTTTGGTGAATAATCGAAAATATTGTTGCCAAGACCAATATCAAAAAGCTTACCTCCTATGTCTTCTAAGAGTTTTATGATTTTAGGTCTTAGGTTCAAGTCTTGAATTCATTTTGAATGGATTTTTGTGTATGGTGAGAGATAGGGGTCAAGTTTATCTTTTTGCATGTGACTGTCCAAGTTTCCCAGCTTGATTTATTGAAGACTCCCCTTTCCTGATTGTGTGTTCTTAGCTCCTTTGTTGTATATTAATCAACCATATATGCATTAAGTTTATTTATGGGGTCTCTATTCTGTTCCATTGATTTAGGTGTCTGTTTTTATGTCAGTTTCACACTATTTTGATTACTATAGCTTTGTAATTTATTTTGTAATCTATAGATGTATATATATATATATATATATATTTAAGATTTGTTCATTTATTTTGGGGGGGAGGGGCAAGGGAGAGGGAAGAGAGAAGCTCAAGCAGACTCCTCGCTAAGTGAGGAGCCCAACATGGGGCCTGATCCCACGACCCTGAGATTGTGACCTGAGCCAGCAAAATCAAGAGTGGGCTGCTCAACCAAGGGCACCACTATTTTGAAGTATATTTTGAAATCAAGAGGTGTGATGCCTTTAGCTTTGGTCTTTCTCAAGATTGCTTTGGCTATTTGGGGTCTTTATGGTTCCCTACAAATTTTGGGATTGTCTGTTCTATTTCTGTGAAACATGCAATTAGAGTTTTGAGAGGAATTGTTTTAAATCTGTAGATTGTGTCAGGTTTCATCCGATAGGTAGTGAAACGGAATAGAGAGGCCAGGCAAAAGTTGGTCAAAAGAGGCTTTTCATGGGACACTCTGGGGGAGGTTCCACAGCCCACAGGGGAGGGAGAGAGCGGGGAAGTCTTGGGGGGGGGGAGTCACACCCAGGCAAACCGCAGGGGGTTCTATAAAGAGTTTTCGGTGGGAAGATGGGGCAGGGTGGCATTCCGATTAGGGCAAGGGTTACAGGTCTTTGTAAGATAAGTTAGGGCGGCAAGGTGGTCTTATTGGGAGGTTGCCGGCCTGGGATCGCCGTTTTGAGGTCCCCAGTCTTGCCAGCCCAACATATTGCTTTGGGTAGTATGGACATCTCAATTCTTCCAATTGATGAGTACAGATATCTTCCCATTTATTTGTGTCTTTTTAAAAATATTTTATTTTGTTTATTTGGAAGAGAGAGAGAATGAGTCGTGAGGAAGAGCAGAAGGAGACAGACAGAGAGAGAGAGAGAGAGAGAAGCAGACTCCTGCTGAGCAGGAAGCCCAAGATGGGAGCTCCATCCCAAGACCTGGAGATCATGACCTGAGCCGGAACACGTTGGCACCCGTGAGCCAGGGTCCAACAATATATACATATATATTTTTTAAATAAATAAACAAAAATTATTAAAAAATATTTCTTTTCAGTTCATTTTGGGATGTTCTCTTGGGCGAGGTTCCATGACCCTGCAAGGGACCGAAGCCGGGGGTGGGGGGGGTGGGGGGCGGGAAGTCGCTCCCAGGGGAGGGCAAGTGGGCTTTCTAAGCAGGGAGGGGTAGGGAGTTATGTGTCTGTGTTGGACCCTGGCTCACGGGTGCCAACGTGGCCCGGTGGACGCCCCAGAGACCCAGACCCCAGACAGGCAGATGCAATTAGCAAGAGGGTTTATTGAACTTTTGCGCAAACGGGCTCTCCGCCTCCGAGGAGGAAAAGAGCCCCGATTAGCAGTTACAGGTATCTTTTAAAAGGCAAAAGGAAAGAAACTGCCTAAAGACAAAAGAACCGCGGGAGTCGCGTAGCATCCAGGTTGATTTCGGGGAGGGTCAACATGAACCTATTCAGGGACATTCCAGTCAGGGTGTGGGGGGGGGGAACGGTTTTCTTATTGTAAACAGAATGCTTTTAGTTGCTAAAATTTCAGGAAGAAGACTGGATGGGCTGCCTCTGGATTAGGGCTGGCCCTACTTACAAGGGGGGAGGTTTCTTCATTCCCTCCTCTTGTTTGGGCTGATTTTAACCTTAAAATCTTAGGGAACATTTATTTTTTCAGTTTGGAGGGCCCGACATTGCTGAGTTAATACCAGAGCTTGGGTAATAGACAATCTTTCTCGGATGAACTGGAGCAGCTGGTTGAGGACGCAAGGGCCGAAAGTTAGCAGCAGGAGCAGGATAACTAGAGGGCCCATAATGGTAGAGATTAGGGTGGTCAACCAGGGAGACTGGTTAAACCAGCTTTCAAACCAGCCCTGCTGGGCCTCCCGGTCCCTTTGTCTTTTATTTAACCTTTCCCTGAGTTTGGCCATGGAGTCTCTGATGACTCCAGAATGGTCTGCATAGAAACAGCATTCCTCTCCCAGGGCCGCACACAGTCCTCCCTCTTTCAGGAATAGTAAATCCAAGCCTCTCCTGTTTTGAAGTACTACTTCTGAAAGTGAGGTGAGGGACTGTTCTAGCTTAGAAACGGACTGCTCTAGTGTCCGTAGATCCTCATCTACAGCTGTTTGGAGTTCAATATAATGTTGTGAGTCCTGGATCAGAGCAGCTGCGCCAGTACCCACCCCAGCAGCGACCCCTAGTCCCAACATAACGGCTAAGGTTAGGGAGACAGGTTCGCGCCGAAAACGGGGGGGATGTTTATCATACTGATTTTCTAGAGTTTCAGCAGGGTGATAGAACACCCTGGGTATGATCTGCACCATGACACAGAAGTCGTTTGAGCTATTTAGAACCTTAGCCGACACACAGGGGGTGAGGCCTTTGTTGCATGCCCACCAAGTTCCCGGCTGGGGCTCCAGGTAAGAATCAGTCCCCAAAATCGGGGTGGTAGTGTTACAGAGTCTCTGGTAGCCCCGGGGGGGTGTTCCTATGCAGGTTCCCTGTCCTGTAACTTCTGTAAGGGTGAATTGTGGTTGGGAGTCTGGGTGTGCATCCCTGAGTGCTAGTGATGTTATTATAGGTCCCTGAAGTAGCAATTCCCTCATAATAAGGGGGAGGGGAAGCAAGGCAGAGCCAGCAGGATTTAGTTACATCGGGGCTGGTTCGATTAAGGGCCAGGAATGCCCCTATGATAAGATTAAACAGTCGTTGTCCCGTCTCGGGTGACGACCCAGGGGTTGGAGTGACCGCGAAGTTAGTGGGTGTGGCACTCCCTGCGGCTAGGGCCGGGGCTGGTAGTTTAGCAGGAGCTCTTTGTTCCCCGAGGACCGCGTTAGGCCCGATCGCCACGGGGTCTGGGGATTCTATTTTTAGTTTAATTCTGAATATAAAACCATCATCTGTTCTTTCTTTGTATAACCTTAGTCCCCACGTATATCCATTGGCCCAGTAAGTAGCCCTTTTCCCGGGCTCCGTGAAGGATATCCGTAGGGGATGACACCACCCTTGGCAGGGCCCATAATTAAGGGTTTTCCATTTGCTAAATGTCGGGTGAGTATAGTTAGCCTTGACAGTGATATAATCCCAGGAGGAGGAGGGCCTCCATTCTGTATCCCCCGTAGTTTCACACCCCCAATTTTTACAATAAAAATATTCCCCTCCTCCACAGGTGGGATTTAGCCTGCGATCTCTGTGGTTCGGGGACAGACATAAAAGGGAAGAGTGCTTAGCATGGCCCTTCTGTCAGGCGTGCCACATCCTCCCCATGGGTCTAATCCCAGTCGCCCTGGAGGGCTTTCTTGGTTAGGGGCTCTAGAGGTGTCGAAGTATCCCTCTAGGTCCCATGGGCTAGGGGCCCCTATGGTCAGCTTGCATAGGTCAGGATATAGGTCAGGCCACCAGGTTCCCACGGGGCGGTCTTAGTTATAGACCAGACCTCGTCACCCCCAGACGTTAGTACCTGCCAGGTTAACCTTTTGAGGGCATGAGGGTCACCTCTGGCGGAGGTGAAGAGCGCTAGGAGAGGTAGGAATATAACAACTGTCATTGAACAATTTTTGAAAGTCTTATCTTGAGCGGGTTTTGGGTGCGGTGGAGCTTCCATTGGAGTGGCTCGTCCGGTCCGTCCTGGCTGGCGTCAGCAGTGCTCGTTGATGGGGCGCGCTGGACGTGTGAGGCGTGGACCCAAGCAGCAATGCCGTCTACCTTTAAGGCGGTTGGGGTGGTCAGTAGTACAGTATATGGGCCCTTCCAGCGGGGCTCAAGCGTCCTGGACTGATGTCTCCTGACGTAGACGGAGTCCCCGATCTGGAACGGGTGTGGGCCGGTTGTGTCTCCGCGGCGGTAGACAGCCGCAAGGGGTTTCCAGATCTGGTGCTGGATAATCTGGAGCGCCTTTAGCCTGTCCTGTAAACCGGGAGTGTTAGCAAGAGGGTCAATAGCAGAATCTAGTAAGTCCGTTACTGGTGGGGGACCTCCATAGAGAATCTCGTAAGGAGTTAGCCCATGGCGCGCGGGAGTGTTCCGGACTCGGAACAGAACCATAGGGAGGAGTTGGACCCAGTCTCTAGTGCCAGTCTCCAATGTCAATTTAGTTAGGGTCTCTTTAATTGTTCTATTCATTCTTTCTACCTGACCTGAGCTCTGGGGTCTGTATGCACAATGTAATTTCCAATTTATCCCCAGTAATCTGGCCACCAACTGACTTACCTGGGAGACGAAGGCGGGGCCATTGTCCGACCCTATTACCTTGGGCAGTCCAAACCGCGGGAAAATTTCTTCCAGGATTTTCTTGACAACCACCTGGGCGGTTTCTCGCTTGGTGGGGAAAGCTTCTGTCCAGCCTGAAAAGGTATCTATAAACACTAGGAGGTACTTGTTACCATATTTACCTGGCTTGATTTCAGTGAAGTCTACTTCCCAATTAGTTCCGGGTCTTTCTCCCCTCATCCTGGTTCCCTCAGGCATCTTGAGGTGTTTGGTATTTACCTTAGCACAAGGTACACAAGCATCGGTTACCTGTTGGATCAGGGAGGGGAGTTTGGGAATGTAATAGGTCTGACCTTCTCTCCGGAGGAGTGCTTTTAATTTTTTGTGTCCGAGGTGAGTCCATCGGTGGAGGTGAGTCACCAGTTCTTTGGCCCTTTTCTGGGGCAGGACCGTCTTCCCTTGGTGTTTCCAGACCTTCATTTGCTCGTCATATCCTGCCCCTATTTGCTGGACGATATCTAGGTCGCTGTCTGAGTACTCGAGAGAGAGTTGCCCCGGTGTCCGGACAGCCTCTGGTACTTGTAGGGAGAGGGCCTGTGGGCCTAGTGCAGTGGCCCGTGCTGTCTCATCGGCCATCCTGTTCCCCTCTGCTACTGGGTCATTGCCTCGCTGATGCCCAGGACAGTGAATTATACTCAGTTTTCTCGGCAGAAAGAGGGAATGGAGAAGATCTTGTATTTCTTCTCTGTTTTTGATGTTTTTACCTGCTGAGGTTAGGAGACCCCTTCTACGGTATATTTCTCCATGAACATGGGCAGTTGCAAAAGCATATCTGCTGTCAGTATAAATGTTGACCTTTTTGTCCTTAGCCTTTCTTAGGGCCTGAGTTAGGGCTATAAGCTCTGCCCTTTGAGCTGAAGTCCCAGGCTCTAAGGCACTGGCCCAAATGACAGCTTTCCCATCTACCACGGCTGCCCCGGCTTTACGCTCACCATTTCGTAGAAAGCTACTCCCATCGGTGTACCAGGTTGCTTCAGCATCTGGCAAAGGCTGGTCCGTCAAGTCCCCTCTGGTGCCATGGACTTCAGCTAGGATCTGGTGACAATCATGCATTACTAGGGAGGGGGACTCGGTTTCTGGAAGCAAGGTGGCCGGGTTTAGAGATGTAGCCGTTCCAAACTGTATCCGCTCAGAATTCAGTAACATGGCCTGATAATGGGTGACCCGGGCGTTTGAGAGCCATCGATCAGGGGGCTGGCGGATGACTGTCTCTACGGCGTGGGGGGCCACCACAGTGAGGGGTTGGCCAAAAGTCAACTTGTCTGAGTCTTTTACCAGGACTGCCACAGCCGCTATTATTCGGAGACATGGGGGCCATCCTGCAGCCACGCTGTCTAATTTTTTTGAAAAGTATGCCACGGGCCTTTTCCAGGGTCCCAGTTTTTGAGTTAGGACCCCTTTTGCTATTCCATTATGTTCATCAACATATAGCGTAAAAGGCTTGGTTACATCTGGGAGGCTCAGGGCAGGGGCGGTCAATAAGGCCCTTTTTATTTTGTCAAAAGCCAATTGCTGCTCCTTTCCCCAGTGGTAGGGGGTGTTGGATTTCGTGAGAGGATATAGGGGAGCCGCCATCTCCGCAAACCCGGGTATCCAGAGGCGGCAGAACCCAGCACTGCCGAGGAACTCTCGTAGTCCTTTGGCATTAGTGGGTGCTGGGATCAGGGCTACAGCCTTTTTGCGGCTCTCCGTCAGCCACCTCTGGCCTCCTTCCAGGAGATATCCCAGATAGGTCA